ATTCCGGACAGTCTAATCAGAAAAGTAATATATCCTTGTGGAAACTAAATGTGATTATGTTATAATTACATTCATAGGTTAAAATAATATATTACTAAAAATGAAAACAATATAATAATCTTTATAATATTTCTATTCTATTTCTAATATATATTATTGAACACCGCCCATTTTTCATCAATCATCCATAAAAATTAAAAAAATTAAATTAAAATCAGATCTGAATTTATATTTTAGAATGATGTATAATGATTATCAAAATAACCAGTTAGAAATTGTTGTCCATTTTAGCAGGTCATAATAAAATCAAATAAGTAGCAGAAATATAAAAAATAATTAAAAAAAATCAATGACAGCTCAATGATCACTTAGATCTTATAATACTAGATTTTAAATTTAAATTCAATTATTTCTACTATGAAAATCAATAACAAAGATCTCATTCCAAAAAACTTAAAGACATATTATGATAAAATATATATATATATATATATATCTTTTGATTTCATATTCAAGAAATTTATTAAAATATGTCTTTTTTTATTGAAATAGATTCGTATTTTAAATTTCAAACGTATATATCTATCAAAATTATCATCATGTTTACAAAAAAATGTTGATTACTATGAACATGAAATATATTTTTTATGTATTTTTGCATCATGTTTGAAAATTTTGACATCAAAATAATATCCAAGATAATGTTCTTGTCTTTTTAGTTCATTAATTGAACTGTAAATTCTTAATCTTTTTTGATAGATACATGTTTCTTCTTTGTACAAGAATCCAATGACTAGCCACCACACTTGCAAAATCCTAAACTTTGATACTTGGTTCTTTAAGAATCTTCGCGAAGCCAGTAGATTTAACTGCGAAATCATTCTTTGTCTTATACATGCTTATTAGAAAAATGCTCGCATTCAAAGTTTTATCTACCAACTTCAAAAGAAACTTCAAAATCTTAAGAATGACATATGAGTAAGAAATATCATTTGTTCCAAGGTAACAAGACAAAACTTCAACAATACAGCAAAATGAGATGACGACCACCAAGTCTATTGGAGCAAATTATGTGATTGTTAGGTTCAATGGACCTGAAGACTATCTATTATGGGAGAGACAAGCAAAGTACAAGTTGAAAGCTATGGATTAAGGATTTACATTAATGTCCAAACCTTCCACTTTCAATAACAATGATTGGAGGGATTTTCAAAGCATACTGTCAGCATAGTCATATAACATCTACAATCTTTAATTTGAAAAAATCTAAAAGATTACTATGAAAAGCAGGATGGTATTGTTTCCTACTCCTATTATGTACGAGATCTCTTGTCTTTAGAATATCAAACAAAGATGAAGGGATTGTGAGTTGTCTTGATACTACTTCCATATACCATTATTATTTATAATTTTTGATTTTTGTATCTCTTATACTGTAACATCTTCTTGATTCACACCGTTGCATCTCTCTATACTTTTTGCATAAAAAAAATTGCAAATTTTCTCCATGTCCATCATTCATTTTGCGGTATAGCATTTGGTGTGATTAGGTTGGCCATTGCACCTATCTGATAGTCATGGCGGCTACGTGATCATTCTTCAAATCAATTCCATCTAACATTATTTTTTTAATTTTTTATTATTACTTCGGTTCTCATGCAACATTTTTTTGATTGCCACCTTTTTTTCTTCTCCATAATTTTGGTTGAAAAAAATTTATAAATATTTCAGTGCCAACTATCTACTAGACATTGCGGCCACCTATGGTCGTGACGATTAGTCTAAGGTATCAATTATATATAATATCAACATCTATAATTCTTGATTATTGTATCGTTAGTCTTGCAACACTTTTTTGATTGTCACCGTTTTAGCTCATTCTATATTTTTTTTCTGAAAAAATTTTTTTAAATATCCAATGGATAGCATACGCTATGCAAAATAGCTTATAATGTGCTTCGACTTGCCAACTATGGTCATGGCAATTACATGATCTATCTCGATACAATTTTCATCCATCATCATATTTTGTAGCGATTAAGTATGAATCTAAGGTACCAATTATATATAATATCATGATCTATAATTCTTGATTATTGAATCGCTTATCCTGCAACACCTTCTTGATTGTCACCGTTTCAACTCTCTCTATATTTTTATTCTAGAAAAACAATTTAAAAGATATCCAGTGCCCAACATCCGCTACACAGAATAGCTTCTAATGTGCTTAGGCTTGTCATTGCGGCAAGCTATGATCATGACGACATGATTTTTTTCTTTACAATTTTCATCTATTAACACATTTTGTTGTTTTTGATTTTTATATCGCTTTTTTTGCAACAACTTCTTGATTGCCATTGTTTCATCTCTTTATCATTTTTATAAAAAAAAACACCAGATGTACTTGTGCCCATTATATTCTCCGCAAAATAACTTATGATATGTTTGAAATGACATTACAACCATTTATGGTTATGTCTACGATTACGTGACTAATGTAGGTATCAATTTTACCTACTATTATTATATGTGATTCTCAATTTTTGTACCGTTTGTCTTGAAACATCTTCTTGAAGTTCAATATTTCAATTTTTTCTATAAATTTTGTTCTAAAACAATTCCAAATGTCATGTGCCCATAATACATTCCGCAAAACATATCATTTTATGGTCTACTTGAGCTCACCATTGCGGCTACATATGGTTGTGGCAATTATGTGACTCGTCTTAATAGTATTTTCATCTAACACCATAAACCTATAATTTTTTATTCTTGTATCACTTGTTTTGCAACATCTTTTTGATTGTCATTGTTTCACTTGTCTCTATATATTTTGCTTAAAAATAACTTCTAAATGTTTTTGTTCCCACCACCTACTCTGTGAAATGATTTATAATGTGTTTGGGCTAGCTGTTGCCACGTCCTAAGTGGCAGCAACGTGACGCGACAACGATCGTGGCGATAATGTGACTTGTCTTGGTACCAATTTAATCTACAATTGTTGTTTCAATCTTGTTTTCATTGCTCTGATCAATCTTGAAATATTTTGATGAATTCTCACATCTATCAGCTAAAGTTATGTGACTTTGGAAGTGTCAAAGTGATGGTCAAAAGTGAACTCAATATTTTGTATATATATCTTCAAAAATAACGTGAGCTAATTTTTGTCTAATATTCGTACCATTTTTATCTATTGTTGTTGCTTCAATCTCCTTCTCATTGCTCTGATCAACCTTGAAATCTTTTGGTGAATCCTCACATACATCAACTAAAGCTATGTGACTTTGAAAGTGTGAAAGTGGTGGTGAAAAGTGAACCCAATATTTTGTATATATGTTTTCAATACTAATGAGTCTTTGAGTTAATTTTTGGCTCCACAAAGTATACAATAATCATAAAGATGTGTATAATGGATTTTTTAATGGCCGAGCTATTATTGAAATAGACTATCTTTCCAAGAAAAAGAAGTGTTGATCAACTTGTGGAGATTACCAAGATTTTTGGAACATCCATTTGTGAGGAGATCAAATTTATGAATCTCAATTACATCAAATCAAGATATCTCAAATCAAATATCATCCTTGGCACATAGAGTTGGATTCACAACCTCGAAAGGCATGTACTCGGGCGAGGTCACTGGACATATGTCAATACCTTTAATGCATACAGACATGTCTGTACGTATTAATTGAACATGTATTTTGAATTACATTTCATAAGTGAATACAGTTACTAATTATCTTACATGGCAACATTTAAGGAGTTTTACGTGGCCATATCTAACAAAAAAAACTATCTATCTAATCTGAATTTATTCATATGTTGGCTATTTATTGTATTACGTGTCAACATTAAAGGGGTTTTATGTGGCCATATCAAAAAAAAATTGCTCTACCTCATGTGCATTTCTTTATATATTTGCTACTTTCTCTTTCCAAGATATAAAGATTGAACATATGTTCCATACGTTATACTTTTCACGGGTTCAGTATTGGACATCTGTTTGATACGTTTTCCTTTGTACGGTTTCAAGATTGGACATCTGTTCAATAAGTTTTCCTTTTAAAGTCTCAAAATTAGAATTCTGCTTTATTCATTCTCTTTTCACAATTTCAAGAATGGAGATTGCTTGAAGCAATGCAATAAATGTTCACAATAAAGTATGTTCACATGTATGTTCAATGCAAGGATAGAGAGTAGATAGCGATAATATTATTAGTTTATGATGATGATCAATCTCCTTCATTGTGCATATGTTACATGAAGAGAGAGTAAGTATGATTGTTCCCCAATTAATGAGGAAAATTCATTCTTGGTTCGAGAAATTCAGTCGAATTCACGTCAGTAGACTCTAAGTTTCATTTTGATTACATCATCGTATTGTTTACATGGTTTGATAGAGATAGTTGAGATTTTATATATGCTGCAAGATACAGTTATTATAATCACTGTTCACATGGTTTGATAGAGATAGTTGAGATTTTATATATGTTGCAAGATACAATTATTATAATCACTGTTCACATGGTTTGATACAGATAGTTGAGATTTTATATATGCTGCAAGATACAGTTATTATAATGACGGGTTTCTTTCATCTTTCAAGTACTTTTTGCTATCTACTTCTACCTTTTCGTTTTATAATCTCGGATTTCTCGTGTTTTATTGGTAAAGGCGACGATAGATATTTATATTGCCGGAAGTAAAAAAACACATTGTTCTCTTAACTAATGATAAAACAGCCTTGATGGCCAGGTGTCCAGATCAACGCCTTTGAAGAGGCCCTTTGCAGAATTTTGCAAGAGAAGGAACCATTCGAGAATTGAACCAACCAAAACACAGGCACACACACAAGTAACTGGAAATGGGTTATCATTTCTTAGCGCGGCGTCAAAAACGACAAGAGTCAATGGATCTGTAAAATTGACTTGTTTATTGCATTGGAATAAACAAGTCACGGCCAGCAGGAGCGTCATAATACATTGTCCCTGCCGGGTCCTGAAGACTTGCAACCTGTCGCAACCTGCGTCGAAGTCGGAAGAACGAAAGTCCTCTGTCAGGGGTTGCAGAGCGTGGACACTCAACCCAAAATTCGGTCACGCTCGTCGAGCAGATTTGATTATCTCACATGTACTCAAATGATCTTGTGTTTAACGCTTGATACAAGGATTCCATAATGACCACGCCGAACAAAGCTCGTTGATCGTCAGGCATAGAAACTGTAGAATTTTGCTCCCTCTGTAGCTCACTGACGGAATTCTCCTGTAATCTCTTATGAAATGTGACTGTGGCGCTTATGCTTTCAGTTTTCTCGGCCGATCCTTCAGTTAGGCCGCTATGTTGTGCTTAGCAACATCTCGGGAGTTACCAGATTCGGGTTTTTCTTGACTGCATTCAGATAACTTAGCCTCAGAGCTCATGGCCAGGGGTAAACGCAACAAACGTGCTGGCAAGTCCAAGCATCGCCAGTCAGCTGTTAAAGATGGCTATAATGAGTACGCAGATCAGTCTGACGAGATTAACGAAGAACTTACGGCATTGTAAGTTTCCTCTGCACTCTGTATTTCTCCCGCAGCAGTGAGATTGGCCTTTTTGTATGCCCAGTTTAATTGAGAAAGCAATTGAATTGTGTTTGCGTGTTGTTTGGTGAAGGTGGATTTTACTTACAGTCGATGAAGCTGCTTTGCTTGCAGCGGTACTTGTCCATAAGGTTCAATGTTCAAAAGTGTTGACTTTTAAAACATTTAGTTCAGTTCTGCTGAGGACAGAATGTGTCCTTGATCTAGTTTGATCTATGTTAGCCTCAGCTTTTTGCAGGTTGTTCGTCCAGATATAGTAGACAAGACTGTGCTTAGTGAGTGCATTGTTTAAATTCTAAGTCCAGATGTATCCGAGTTAGCAGTAGACGAGTTTTCTCACGGATTTTATCTGTTTTCTGTGCTTTCAAACATGCAGGGCAGCAATTTTTCAAGATGACTTCAATTTGTTATCTGAGAACATTCGTACCGAATTCAAAATTAACTTGCGGTAAGTATCATCAAATCATCAGTGCTCCTCTCATCATGCTTAATACGTGGAAAAATAAGAGTACTGTATTGAGTATAAAATAGACAACTACCTGGAAGAATTCGCTGATACCTTTATGAACCCACTTCTTAACACATGCCGCATCTATACACTATCTCCACTTCATACGACTTCCGCGCTCAAGCTTTCTCTCTCTGAATTGATTTCTGCACTAATTTTGTTCCAAGTCATTCTAAGAAATCTGATCGGTTTGAGATGCTATCCTGTGCTTATACGTTGTAGTCGTCATGTTTAAGCTGGAAAGAATTGGGAATCTGTTTCGAAACTTAGAAAATAGTGTGGAATGTGTTTCAGCCCTCACACCGTTGACGATGAACTTGACGACGATTATCTTTCAGCCGAACTACTCGTAAGGTAAGCCAAAACAGAGAAAGTATTATGATCTCTATTGAAAGTGCCTCCCATGCTTGATCGACAGACAAGGCTCCTTTCTGATCTTTAAAATGCAAAAAAAAAATTCGGGTTTTAACAAACTTCATATTTTTTTAGCTCTCAACTTTGAATCAGATACTCTCATCATGAACATTACAAAACAGTAATTTTCTTTCTTACTTTCTAGATGTGACAGCTGATTCAGCATTTAATTTTCAGATATTTACCTGGATACCCGCTGAGGCCTCCAAAGCTTCAGGTTACGTCGAAAAAGGGGCTAACAGGCGAACAACTGCAATATCTTCATTCTATGCTTGTCGAGCAGGTATGTAAGAGAAGCACCCGAACACGCTTTTGCGATCTGAATTTATACACATGTGTTTGTCTTAGAGCTAGAGTTTTGAGCAGTTTTGAGTTTGAATATGTAATACACACTCAAAGGATTTGAGGCTTTCCTTTTCAACAGTGAATTCCAAGAGCAAGAACCTAAGCGGTAAACCTTCTGCAGTCAGTTCTGATTAAATAAGTGATCATCCTGCCTTTTGTTTGTCTAGTAGGGTTTATCTTACCAGCCGTGAACAAAAGCCACTTGTGTAGGATCATAATCATTATATGATACGTGATTATATTGCTCTGGGGAGCGTGGACCATGACTTATTTTCTTTTTTTTCTCTCTTCAGGCCTCCTCTCTTGCTAGAGAAGGTCGTGTCATGATATTCAATCTTACTGAAGCAGCTCAAGAATTTCTGTCCGATCAAATTAGGCATGTGGATCCAGTGGAGGAGCAAGTACATATGAAGGAGGTATTGCTCAAAATTGCCCGTATTTAATAAATCGAAATCAGCCATGATGGGTTATAAAGAAGCTAGTTTTCCAATCATTCACTTCTGTGATTGTTATCTGAGTAGACTTCCTTCTTTGAACTACTGAAGAAAGGTGTGACTTTTTTTTTGGTTCACTGTTAAACATCAGTGTGATATCAAAGTGTGAATGCATGTAACAAAGTATAAAAGAGTAAATATGTTTGGAATTCACGTATATACCGCATTCGATGCACATCTATGTTACTGCATGGATAAATACACATCACTTCACATTTTCCACTTTCTGCGTGTCATATTTTATTTTTACCTTGGAAATTTAACTCCTACATCCATAGTCTTATTGACTATTGTCTATACTCTTGATTATCTAGGGGATCGTACCTTCCACAAAGTCGACTGTTGATGGTTCTCATGGCGTGGAAGCCTCCACACTTGTTGCGGGACATGATGAGCAAGAATTGGAGGACAGTATCTACTTGGACCTCTTTAACAATCTGTGGGGTGAAGGTGATGTTCAATTGGAGGCAGCCCGCGTGTCTGTGTCTCATGATCATTTGGAACCCAGTCGATTTAGCAGTCCTCTTCGTGAACAACGGGGTATCGTTGAGAAGACGAAGGTCTCTAAAGCTACAGGAAGCAACGCCTTTCAAGAATCAAAATCGGCTGTGTCTGTTGGAGGTGATTTATTTAACGCTCCTAATACTTTTCTTAGAGGGACTAAGCCAGTCGACCTTGACGAGATTGCGGAGGAGACAGGGGATGACTCCGATAATGAGCAACCTGCCCAAATAAGAAGGACCCATTCAGCATCTGCGACAGAGCTTTTGCGCAAAGTGCACTCTGGCCTGATAGCTTTCAGAAAATCTGGAAAGGTTTGATTTCTATGCCTCTTACTGTTTTCTGATCACTTCTATATTCAGGAACTCTTTTGGTCAAGACTCAATGTTACCATCCATAATAACAGCAACTAGATCTTCTTTTAACAAGCCTGATCTCTTCAGAGTTGAAGCTTTGTCGTTCTATATATTTCGTGTGGGCTTAGTTCTCGACGTGAAAGAGATTCTGTTATATTGTCAAAGATTGGATGCAGAGCTCCATCGATAGTGATAGCAGTTCGACGGACGATGTTATTGAGAATGCAATAGAACATGGTCTGGCGATGTATCGGGATTCCACAGTGAGTGAAAAGCCAGGGAATGATGACGTGGCAACCCAACATTTGCGGAAGGATCTCGTGCTGGTAAATTTTTGAACTTAGATTCTGATTATTCGAGCTGTTTGATATTCATTTCTGCTGAGAATTTTCATGAACATACCTTGACTTTTACCATGTCATTCTCCTGACCTTTCTTGTAGAATTCATAGATGTCACTTGTTACAGATTGAAGTGATCTGTCTTCTTTTTTTTGGTTCGCAGAGCTATCTTCTTCAGCTGGTTTGCTGTTCCAGAGGTCCACTATCAAATGCCCTAACCGTTTTGGCTTCAGAATTATACAGTAAAGGAGTAAGTACATTATCCAACCTCTAAGTGTGTGCACACAATATATTGATCCATAACCAAAGATGTGATCTTACAACATTTTCACTGAATCGTTTTCTTATCATGAATAGGTCTTGTCTCCTTGGGCTTATAACCTGGTAACCCTTCAGCCTCAGTTATTTCTACCCACATTCAGAAGGATGTTTGGACAAATGCTCAAAGACACAGAAACGACGACTGCTTCAGGGCAACGGGTCAGTTACCCTCTTTTCTTGAACAAATTGGCTGGTTTTTCTGTTAAAGGCAAATTCTAATATGCTCAATACCTTCTGGAATTGAAAATTAGACGTAGTCCTACATCCTCCTATATTTTATTGAAGTTAATATTGGATGAAATAAATTATAATTGGTTCTGATAACTATGACTAGGCACACCCAGCTCTTAGTCGTTTTTGGAGTGCGAATCCAGAGCTTTCAGAACAAGGAGCTGACGATTTAAGGAACTCAAGCTCTCGATACTTGAGTGATTTTGAAGAACTTTCTCTTCTTGGTGAGTCTGTTATTCATGGCTTTGAGAAACTTTCGAACAATGATTTGGGCACACTATCCCGATAATTTGTTACATGTATGGGAGCACTTAATTGGTCTCTTGAGTGCTTCTTCAGTGTAGTGGAATGACACTAGAAATATCTACAAGGTATACTTGTATCTTTTGCCATGGAATACCCGTCAGATGGTTTCTCTTTGCGGGACGTTTTGGAAAATTTGTAATACTTATTATCCCTACATGATAGCTGTGGATGTTTGGTCTACCGGTTTTGATTCGTTAAGTGTTGGATGAGATTTCTAATATTAAGTTGTTACCATTCTCAAACAGGAAGAGGTGGTTTTGGACATGTTGTTCTGTGCAAAAACAAGCTTGATGGCCGAAGATACGCGATGAAGAAAATTAGACTCAAAGACAAAAGTCCAGTTTTGAATGATAAAATTCTCAGGTCATACTCTTCATATCATCGTTCTATATATACTATAGAGTTGTAAGAAGTTATGCTCCTTGTCGACTGTATGAAGACTTATGCATCATTTCTGCGAAGCTGCTGAGGAGGAAGAAATATGTGATTACTTCATGGTGTCGCATATTTTTAATTTCAAATTGTATCTCCAGAGAAGTAGCCACTCTCTCAAGACTTCAACATATTCACATAGTCCGCTACTATCAGGCCAGTTCGATTTCCACCATAAGCCCCTGCATGAGATATTTGATGAATGCTTTACCAGAAATAAAAACTTTTACCATTTTCACCATTTTGTTAGTGTGGGGATTCGACTCTCCGTATGTTCTCCGACTCTGACCACTTGGCGCATCTATTTGAATTTTAGTCTCCTTTGTGAGGAATGTGTTGGTCCACGTCTCACGGCCTCACAGACCAATGATTTGGAGTACATGTTTAGGTTATTTCTTCCTCCCCGTGACAGGTTTCTTTCCATTTAATAATGTCTGGAAGAAGGCCCAGATTTCATTGGCAATGTAGGTCTTGAGTTTTTCGTCTCCAGCAACCTCTCCTCGTCACTGTTTTTTGGCAGTGAAGAAGAGACGACGCTGGAGATGCTGTAAACTTTATGTTTTTTGACTGTATGCGCTTTCCGTTCAGGCTTGGATCGAAACAGGAGTGGGGAATGTTCAAAAGACTCTCAAAGGAGGCTCTGAAGATTCTGAAGGTTCGGAATTTTGGCTGAATCAGGGAAGTGATTCTCAGAAGGACTCTTCTCTCGCTGATTCTGAATTGGGATCAGGTGAAACAATTTTCTTGTATATTCAGATGGAATATTGTCCAAGGTACAAGATGTTTCTCCTCTCAAAGCTGCAAGGTCGTAACTTGTGGAAAGTCCTTATGTTTATTGAACCCAAGAAATTGTCAATTATAAGCCTACTTATATAATAAGCCTGCAGAAAGTAGTGGAGCATGTGAAAAGACTGAGTTGAGATTGTTTACTGCGTAGTGCTCTCTATTTGCAAGTGAAGAGAAATGGGGTAGGTAGTAGAGCGAAGTCAGACGACCTAATGAGCTAGAGTTGCTACAAGGTCTTAAATGACAAGTGTTGCTTTGATGGTTGTTTCAGAACACTGCGAGAGGTATTCAACAGCTGTACTATGTCAGTCAACAAAGAGGAAATTTGGCGTACTTTTAGGCAGATAGTAGAAGGACTTGCTCATATACATGGTCAAGGAATCATTCACCGAGACTTGAATCCAAACAACATATTTTTTGATGCTCGTGGAGACATCAAAATTGGCGACTTTGGTCTAGGTATTGATATTGACAAGAACCTTCAATTCCTATGTCTGTGGACTGCGACTATTCAGATGCTTTCATGGCTACAGAAAAGGACATGGTACATTCTTGATTGTAGGTGCGTAGCACGAGACCAGAGGGATATTTATGGAGTTCAACTGCATCAGTGCACAAAGTTTCTTCTGTATCGATATCACAAGTTAATAAGGATACTCAAGCTTGGGAAGTGCATTATAGATGTATTTAAAGTCTTCTAATCTGATCACCAGCACTTCCCAGCAAGATCGTGGGGTCTTTGGCTTTCAAGCCACGACAAGTAGATACTATGGGTACACTGTTGTCTGATCATCTTGGTATCGCTGTTGTTTTTGCAGCCAAGTTCACAAATTTAGAGCAGCCAGATCGGGAAACAAATCCTATAGCTTCCACGGAAGTGACCAGCGCATCTTTTGAAGGAACAGGCCAAGTTGGAACTTATTTCTATACGGCCCCGGAAGTCGATCAAGGTCTGCCACACGTTGATGTTAAAGTAAGTTGATTGCAACTCTGGAAATGCCTAATGTACTTTCTTAAGCTTAGACACCCGAACAATATATATAAACCAGTAGCAGTCATTCATTTATTTAGAACTGACACGGTCGACGAACGTTCAGTTCATTTGTCTGACCTAAACGTCAGCTTTATACATGCGAACGACTCACCTTTACCCCTAGCTCATTTGCTGATGTCGCATACATATGTAGTGGCAAGTTCTCATTGTTTTTTTCCAGGTTGATATGTACAGCTTAGGGGTGGTTTTTTTTGAGTTGTGGACGCCTTTCAGCACCCAAATGGAAAGATTTGTCACCTTGAACGAGCTCAAACAGCACGGCAATCTCCCTCCGAATTGGTCGTCCCCTGAGTTTGTTCAGCAGGCAACACTGGTGCGCTGGCTCATGAAATCCTATGGTCCGGACCGGCCCTCAGCAGCACAAGTTTTACGCAGTGACCTTTTACCTCCAAGAATGGAGAACGAGTCATTGAACGGTACAGCTGAAACCGTTTTCATTAGATCGAATATGGATGCTAGATCTCACATACCAACACTTCGGCTAGACGGAGTTGTATTATCATATTCATACAGCACATAGCAAGGTTTAGACAAAGTCGAAGCAAAAGAATAAGATACTACTAGTGCTCATTACAAGCTAGCTACTCCAGACCTTGCATCTGAAACTTTTTTAATTTTTTAAAGGCTTGTAACTTGTCAAAATACTGACAGTCTTGTATGGCGAATGTTACAGATATTTTGAGAACCATACAGAATGCAGAGGATACCTCTGTTTACGATCAAATAATTGCTGCAGTATTTGACGATGAGAGAATTGCCGCAAAATCAGGACTGATCGACATAGAGTTAGCTAAGCTGAAGAGAAGTAACAAAGATCGTACATTATTACATGTTGTGGGATATCAAGACCATTATATAGACTCTGTAAAAGCTGTGTTTCTGCGGCATGGTGCGCAACGAGTTGAAAGCTCCTCTTTCAACGTGCTTGATGATTCACGTCATTTGAGAAGGTTATCGTACATCCTACACTCATCGTTTTTGAGGCCTTCCTTTCATTTGATCAATCTGTTGGGCGGAATGAAATGATTTGGAGCTTTACCTTTGTGTGTTACTGTTGGATGCTTGCAGACAAGTCGTGAAACTGATTGATTCTTCTGGCAATGTGCTGGACGTTCGTCATGAAATTCGGCCGTCGCTAGCTCGCTGGGTTGCTGTGAACCAGGTATTTTTCTCCGAGAGCCCTCTCTGTGTAGCTGTATTGAGATACCTAGATATTCCAATTAACCTTAATTACTTGACTACTTTTCAGAAGAGGGGTGCAATCATGATTCCCAAAACTGCAAAGCAAAGTTTTTTTCTCCTATCAACATCACATTGATTATGGTCTCAGAAATTGCAAGACCAACTCGGATCAAGGACAAAAGATTCCAATTCAAAAACCTAGGAGAACCGTTTATATCCAAATGGTTAGGAAATCAACCATTGTTGGGTATAAAGAAGAGTTATACATCATCTACGCGATAATAATATAGCTATACATGCAGTCATTAACCCTCCTTCAAGCCAGAATTTCTGCTTTCTAATCATTGAAACTGGTAGTAGAAGTTCATTGCTTGAGTAGTGTCAGAGATTCTCAGAATGAATGTCCTAGTCCTGATCGCCTTATCTCTTTTGACTTTTAGGGCAAACCTCGTGCAATTTTTCCAACCTCCTTTATCTACTTTATCTTACCAAGATCTGTCTTGAGTTATATCTGAAGCTTGTGACTCACTTATATTACACGTTTTGTAGGCCTGTTAGCATCCTTAGTTTGCTCAATAACAGTAGTCTGACTTGCCATCGAGTCATATCACGAAGTGTTATGGTTTCTACCTAATATATTCTTCTTTTCTCCCATATCTTTTGTTGTCTCGCAGATTTCGTCTTTGAAGAGCTACGAAATTTCTCCAGTCTTTAGAAAAGGTGTCGGAGACGATGCTCCACGAGAGTATCTACAAGTATGTCTAACCTTTTAGTTCTATTTCGTCAGCTTCTTATTTCGGAAATTTTCTAAAGATAGCATGGACATTGAAAAATATCCACTAGAGTACCTACAAGTATGTCTAATCTTCAAAATGTAGTGAAATTGAAAGTTGGAACTTGACCGAATTGCAATGTCTTACTAATACGTGGACTACAAACTGAATGCTAGGTCATTTGTGTAGGACACCCTAGGACTTCAAAACTCATCGTCTTTGAAAACATAGTGAGGTCCATTCGTTTTGTAATCCTTCATTTCCTGAGGATACTTGGGCCCTTTTAACACCATTTTTGCTTGAAAATATTTAGGGTGATTTTGATATCATCGGAGGAGCGAGGACTCTTGTAGAAGTGGAAGCAGTGAAGGTAAGGCTTAGAACTCGGGTTATGTTCCTGATATGTGACAAATGTAGTTGCACAAAGCCCTTATCACGGTACATGGTACTTAAGGTCTGGAACTGTAAAATAAGATCTCAGTACGCACAACTGCAGGCTTCTGGAATATAGTTGAGAACTGCAAGGTGGCAGTAGTCAACGCTTGTCCTTTGAAACCTCACATTTTCCTTTGCATGAAGGTTAGCTAGCGGCTGCGCTATATATCTCTGTTTGTAAAACTCATCCAAGAAAAAAATGGCTGCTTTCATTCCTTTTTTCTTCTCCTGCTTCACAGAGGATAAGTGGAAAATGTGCAGGTTGCAGTAGAAGTTGTCAACAAATTTTCTCATTGGGATGCCTTTGAAGTCCGTATCAACCATCGGCAAATTCTTAGCGCTATATGGAACTGGACTGGAGTTCAGAGCGAACACAAACAAAAAGTTGCTCAGGTCCATTTGCAATGATTATTTCCTTATTATAAGCGCGGCTTAAGTTTAAATTTTCCCAACGAACTGTTTGGTCAGGGAATAATTAGCCAATTGCTCACTTAGCTGTAAATCCATGTTAAATTGTAGGTTCTGGCAATGATGGGAACTGCTTCACCCCAATCTCCAGCACGCAAAGCTTTGTGGGCCCTAGTCCGTCGACAACTGTTGCAGGTAAGTTCACATCATTTTTACCTGCGAACAATAGTCCCCTAAAGGTAAATGATGGTGGTCCATCTTTTCAGCTGTTTATGAATGTATTCCAATGGAGAAACGTGTTCAGCCCGGTACCCATTCAAGTAGCCGGGATCATGTGACGATGAAGTGATTCTCTTGGGTAGATGTTGTTGATGGTTTCATTTCTTGCATCGTATTCGAGGATCCATACCGCACCATGGTCTGTCAGTGCGTGTGCACTCGTTGGTTCTTACACCATGTTTCATTCTGTCTCCTATACGTGCATTTCATCACATGGGTGCATTGTGGCTGCCTGTATCCCTTTTCCGCAAGTCACTTGCAGGATTTTGTTCTGGATGATATATGAATGTTTGTACGTTGAATCCATCGATTTCTGCACCAGGATTAAATGCCATCTTTTGGGACTGTTCTTTATTCCTTGACAGTTCTAATGCATCGGGTGATGCCCTGTATAGAACCCTATGGTTTTATCTGCCGGGTCTGTACTCTTCGGTCACCCTGCGATTGAAACGTCTTATTTGAACAGTGTATGAATGGTTGAGGGATTCATACACTATATTTCTTGTGTGTTCACCTGTCCGTTCGTTGCCCTGAAAGTTTGATTAATTCAAGAAATCAAGATGTTAATCGCTTATGTGTTATTTCATGACTACAGAGCCTCCATATTCCGGAAGCAGTCGTTGATAAATTGCAGACAGTGGAGCGTAGACTCAGTGGATGTGCCAACGATGTTCTTCCTCGCCTAGTAGGAGCTCTCCCAAAAAGTATGTTCCTCACGTCTTCCTTGACATGTCAGTCATACAAGAGAAATGTTCCACCATGGTTTTGATCGCGCTAGCTTGAATATATTTGTTTGCTTCAAAGTGCCATACATTGAGGGAAGAACTCAATCATTTGACAGTTGTAAAGCAAGCTTCTGGAATACTTCTGGAAACTGGAGCTAAATACGTATCACTATACGTATTTAGCTAGTACATAAACTCCAGTTCTGTCAATAATTTCTCTTGCACACGACTTCTACAATGAAACATGGGCGGAAAACATTCTTTATGTTGTTATGCGATGTTGTTTGAAGTTCCTGTCGGATCTGTTTGTCCTAATCCCATGTACAGTTAAAATTTGCAGTTAGGATAATGAAACATGTGGAGATGCGTCTTATAATGTACAAGCTCACACTTATGCACAGGTACAACCACAGCAGCTGCAATTGAAGAGTTATCGACACTACTTAGATATTTGCGAGTGTGGCAACTTGAAAAGTTTGTCGTTCTCGATGGATTGATGGCAGCAACAGAAGACTACTTCGATGGCATTTTTTTCCAGGCAAGCGTCAAAAAAAGCATCGAAATAACTTCATCTCATCTAGGTTCTTTATATCTATACTTATCAGACGTACATGTTTAGGTCCTGATTAACGTTTAATTTAAAGTTTAACAGCGAGTCTTCAATCAGCACATTGATGGTACTTACATAATCAACGAGCCAGTTTCTAAGACTTTAGTCATCTGGAAACAATCTTGGACATTGTCATGCATAGTTTTGCTTCAATTTCTGCTCACTCTGAGAATATGTTGTAAATCCTGTTCGCAAGCTGTGGTCAATCTTGTCCTCAAGTAACAGTAGGTATTGAAAAAACTATGAATGAAATCATCATCAGATTTTCTTATCTTGTGTCTATATTTTCAAAATTAGCTGTTGTTTCTCTATTCTCATCAATGCGACTTGTTGGAGAAGAAATAGCAAAGTGACTTCCATTCCTCTTCTTGTTGCACCAGGTGCATGTGCACAAATCGGGTACTCAAAATCGAAATATACCGGGAGCATGTGTTGCTGTAGGTGGTCGCTATGACAAACTCATCAATAGATTCTGGACTAATACTGTGGTGGGTATTTCTTTTTTATATATATAATCAAATAAAAATATATCTTTGCTCATTTGTAAGGTCCTTAATTTACTCAGAAGATATTCAAGTCCTCCTTAGAAGAAGTTCAAGACATTGAAGGCATAGATTGAGGCATTTTCTTGTTGTTCAATTCAATTTGAAGTTTATCTGAATGAATGTCCTTTGTATCAATCGAGTGGAGATGCAATGACATTGAGGATTTTCATGGATTCAGCTTCTTCTCTTGATACTATCCTCAAAGATGTAGAGATGCAGTTTGAATACTCATCTCGTCACTGTAGATATTCACAATCTTCCAAACTCGTCATCAAAATTAGTGATATGTTTCATGTACTATTTATTGCCTTACAAGCCTCAACTCATCGATTGCCATCTTGCCTTCATCTCTGGTAGAAAAATCCTCCACCAGGTGCTGTTGGACTTAGTGTTGCTTTGCAGTTGCTGCTTGACACCACTACAGCTGAAAGGTAATATCCTATACTTGATTCATCAAAAAAATACTTTCGAATGTATACGCTTATAGTTGAATTTCAAATCCAAGATAGGTTCGAATCAGCTTCTGCATATGGTTTTACTCACACGTCATGCTCTGAAACATTGGGGAATTGACTAGCCTTTTTCTCGTAAATGCTGAATACATACATTGACCTGTATAATTAAGGAAGTGGATGAATGGAGGAATGATGTATATTCGGGTATTTTTACCAGGGGTGAAGGTGCCCCAGATGTGCTAGTTTGTAGCAAGGGAGGGGGTGGATTGTTGGAGGAGCGTATGGAGATTGTTAATGACTTGTGGGCTGCCAACATTAAGGTTTGTTTCTATAATCTAGTTTTCTTGTGTAGAAGAGAAGTCAATATTTATATAAAAAAAAACTGGTCACCGGTCAATTTTGAATATGAAGTACTTCCGTTGGTTCTTTCTAAAGTGATGCATAACGAAATGTGCGTCAAACTTTCAACATCTTGGTTTAACCTTGTTTCTTGTGAGATGGGATGTTTAGATAAACCTACGGTTATATCAATTGACATTTGAATTGAATTTAGGCCGAGTATATGTGTGAGGAGGCTCCGAGTCTCACAGAACAGTATGAATATGCTCATGAGCGCGGAATCAAATGGCTAGTGATTATTACAGAAGCCGCACTTTCTCTCACAGAATCAGTGAAGGTAAAGCTTGTACCATTGATGCTCTTTTTATGGATTCAGATCATATTAGCACATTTTTCCTGTTGACAGTAACAACTGATAAAATGAGACTTGACTTCAATCTGCACTTCCTTTTTACTTTCCAAACCTTGGGATACCATGGAACCTGAGGTCTGATATTCTGTTAACCTATTATTATCTCAGGTTCGACATCTTTACTTTAGAGCAGAGGAGGATGTACCAAGAGAAGATTTAGTGAAGTATTTTGCAGACATTGGTGCAACTAACGTAAATTTCAAAAGAAAAGCTTCAGTCATGCGTACGGGGAGCTGAAACGTTGCGTGCAATGGGGGCTAGTTTCTAATGCCAAACGTTTTTGGTCCGCACCAAGACTGAGGGGGATTTTATTCAACTTCCTGTGAAAATCGAGAGTCAACCAGTGCTGCCCAATTGCAGCAAATTGCGAGGCAGAAATGAGTTCTACAGTTCACTAGGTATGGTCCTGACCTTGCTCCAATCTAGAAGACAAACAGGCTGATGATGACAATGCAGTATTTTTCTCGGATTTTCATCGACGAATTCGACGAAAATAGTGCATCGTTGTCATTAGTTTAGTCATGTCTATTGTAGTACTTTATTTTCGTCCTTGTTAATTTGTTCAGTTGATATACTCGTGTCCTTTCTGCTGAAAAGTTTCACACTGCAACTGCAATAACTGCAACTTGCAAATTGTTTGTGTTAAGTGATGTCAGCTGCAAGTATTTCGTTTTAACGTTTTACAGCAAGTGACATGGTGTTTGATAACGTGTGCAGATTTCACTGTCAATTACTTCGTCTCTCCAGTAGTCTTGATAATATTCTAAGCACTCCGGTTGCAAATGCAAATTTGCAAGTGCTCGGCAAAATTTTTTATAATATATACAACTTGCATCAAGATTCCCTTTCTCAGCGTCCTATGAATAAGTAGTTCTACGGGCAGCACTATCAATCTCGCTGGAAATATTTGATCCACAAAAATCGGCGTTGTTATACTTCAGGTTATAATGTAATAAACTTGGAAAGTTCCAATGTCTCACTGCGTGTTATTCATACAATTATCAACATTATTCAACGCAAGTGATCGTAGAATGCCGTCGAATATGTTGTCTTCATGCAGACTTTGTGCTAATGAACATCTGGAATGTCTTATATTCTAAAGCTTCTGTGCGCTGAGCTTGTTATAGAAATACAAAAATCCCCATCTAGCGAAAGTTGTTTCTAGCTGAGAAAAAAACCAAAGTGTTCATATTTTCAGTGTCATTGTCGGAGGGCCGTGTAATTGAGCTACACGTAGACTTCGGACAGGTTATGATCTTTGCTGATCTGTATGAATCGGAATGAGATTGCTGTCGTTGGTTCTGTTTTGTTGCAGAGCACAGTTGTCATTTTAGTTCCAACCGAAAGGTTATTTGTGAACGAGAAATTCGACTTGGAGATAAGAGTCATTTGAATAGTCCATGAGAAAAACAAGGCTGCAACCGTGACGTAATGCAGACCTGATTTACGGCTAAGATGTGGGGCCTTGTAAACGTAAAAGTCCGGATTGTAGACTCGCCGCTTCGCTCAAAGATATAAATCCGCCTCATCATTCGACGATGCTTTCTCCGTGCTTTCTTTTCCTCTCAATCCCTGTTTGGAGAAATGAAGTGCACTCTCACGCGCGTATCGTCTTCGAATCCTGGGGCGAGTACAGCCTCAAGCTTTTTGGATTTCTCAAGATTCGCCTCCAGTGTAACCTTTATGCACTCTCAGCAGATTCCTTCTTTTAAATTTCACTTCCTATTATAATGAACAATCTTTGAAATATAAAGCATATAAATGTAGATGCTGGACTTTTCAGCTGCTCTCTGGTTCTGAAACCAGTGAGTCGGTTCTTCATACCTCATGTCAGGAATTCGCCAAATCGATGACCCTACATCTTTTTCCACGCGCATGAACTCAATCGGAGGGTCGATCTCCTTCATTCGTCATGTGCTGCCTCTAGGACCAACGTCGTCGAGCCCATAACTTTCTTTGCTGCAAGATCGCCCCATGCCCTGCTGGGCTCTGAGGACTCGGAAACAAACTCTATTCAATTGCAAATTGTGGCTCGTAGGTCAGCTCTGTAGGCATTCCATGCACTTAAACATGTGTCTCTGCGAGTGTCGAAACAACTTTTCACCAATCGCTTCACAACTGAACACTTCTGAAGATTTGGAAGATAATATAAACCTCGGAATCACGTGGGAGCGAGGCACACTTTTCGACGATGATTCATGCCTGTGGCCTGTGCCTCGGACATTTCACCGCAACACCTCGTCGTTCCCCCTTCGGTCCCTGTCTCTGGACTCTGAACACCGGCGACTGACTGACTCTCTGGGCTCGGTTACACCCTGGCCCGGATCTCACCGCACCTCGTCCGTCGCCGGCACCGGACCTCGAACCTCGGCCTCGGACACCATCGAGACGAGACTGTCAGTCCTAGATGCATCTCCGATCCGACGGACCACCGCCGCTCGTCGATCGGCCCGTTCATGCAATTTTAAACATTTCAGTTGGTCCGTTGGTCGGTCGGTCGGTCGGTCGGTCGGCCTCAAGCCTTTGACCTTCGATTCGCTTCCCTTCTCGTCCCTTCCCTTCCTCGCCTCTCCTGCCCGGGCAGCGCGGCCCGGCCCGGCCCGGCCCCGCACTGCCGAGCGGCCACAGCCCATGTCCGCTGACACTGGGTCACATGGTTGGGCACGGATTCAGCTTACAGTTTCATGTCATGTCATGTCGACGCATTCGCTCTGACATGACGATTCGCAAACAAAACCGGGGCTCGAATTTAGCATCCCCTTCAATGCACGCCCCTGTCATGTCGCTTCACTGTCATCGCGCTCCTTTCTCAACTGAACTTTCTGCATCCGCTCTTCTGCTTTCCCCGCCCTTTCCGCTTCGCAGTTACCGTCGTTTCTCACCTCGGCTTTCCCGTGGGTTTATTATACTCGACCGCCACAGCTACCCCGCAGGCCACGGTCGGTTCCTCTGACTCTCCCGCCTAACCCCGGTCAGCTCTTGACCCCGCGTCCAGCTCCGGGCTTCCTCACTCCCCAGGGCTGCCGGACCAGATTTCCCCTTTCCGGATAGCCAGACAGACGCCAAATCTCAGCCGTCGATCGATGGACTGGATGCATGAATGTAACCTCGGAGCAAAAGCTCAGAACTCGCATCTGCTTCGAATTCTGGATTTCGAGTCCATGAATGCATGCACCTCCTCGTTCGCGCTCCAGGATAGGATCGAAATCGTCCGGAATTTGCCTGGGCTTTGATTTCTTCTTCGCTCTCGTGGGTGCAGCGACGTCCAGTTCGAGAGCGGAATACGAAAACGAAGCAATCGGTGGCCGCTTTGAGACGGGCAAACATTTATCCAAAGACGACAGAACAAACTTTCAAAAAGGCTCCACTCTTTAGACAAAGTGAGGGTCATTGATTTGCGTCGAAGGAGCGGTTATCTATAGCCCGCTTACCTGGAGTCAACTATTTAAGGAATTTGACTTTTATCGTGCAACTCGAGGACTTGACATTGGCCCCCCTTTGGGAATGTGGAAAAGATAATAAGTAGTCGCAAAGTGTGTATGTTGAAAAAATCTGAATGGCCACGTGAAACTTTGGAAACTGGGGGCCGAGAGAAAGTCGACCGCAGATCGACCAACCAGCTGCGCCCTTCATATTTATGGCGCCCGCCTCCCACTTGCCACCCGGACGCGAATCTTCGCTCGTATTCTCGTAACAGATTAGATTCCCCTGGTTGAGTGAGATTCTGTCTGCATGTATTCATGTTGCTCGATTTTCTTCCTTCGCCCCTCGCCTCCTGGAAATCGCTCTCGGCCCTTAGACTCGTCCCCATAGCCCTCCCCGAGTCCCCGAGTCCCCGACCCTGTGCCCGGCGCGGGCCCTCCTTATTCCACTTATTCTCCCCCCGTATACGTTACTGCCGGCTTCTCTCTCGAGGTCCTTACAGTCATGAGGATGATGATGATGACTGCGAGCGATCTGAGCATGATCTCTTCGAGCGCTGTTATGATTCCGCTTCCTTTTCTCGCAGAAAGACGGGCTGTCTATCTGAAACTCAGTCCTCGTCAATTCTGGACCTCTGCCATCGGTCTAGCTGAAGAATGTGGGCTACTCGCAAGCTTTACGTTGAAAGGTTGTGGGGTTTTGAGACTAGGCATCGTCCCCTCTATTGTGGTGTGTGTGCGACGAGGAAAGATGTTCAAACCTATCCAGACAATCATGAAAGGATGAGAGAGTTGAGCCACTAGGATTGTACTCCTAGACTTCTCGAGAGATTCCCTTCTCTTTCTCGGGGGAAGAGAAAAAAAAACATTCTATTTCAGCATGTGCAAATCATTGAGCCATTGATTCTGTGGAAATTTAGTTTCTTGTACATTTTGGCCGAGGATTTATTCATCAGCATGTAGCTGTTGCATGACGAAGAACATGTGTCTTATATATACTGTTATGGCATCAAATCTATCGACCTTTGCAGACTTTGTTCATGCCGAGTATAAATCTACTACACCGATTTCATTGTTTATCGATTGATGCATAATCCTTCATCCGCATTTTTTGTGAACCAATTTCTATGTATAGTCGAAAACAATTCGAGAAAAAGTTTGAAAGATGGCATACCGAGTTAGAACAGTTATTGTCTTTGATTAGGCATCAGTAAGATCTTGAATAGATTGTTTTAAATAAAACTGATAAACTGGATCCAAACCACTACAAATCTTCTTCAAAATTTCACTTTGTCTAGACATGAATATGAATGCATGAATTTTATGTTGAGATACATTTATTAACACAATGATTTAAAATTGAAAAACAAAATCAAATAGATTAAATTTATATTTTTTAATTCGTGTTAAAATTTGAAGCTTTTATCTAACACATGAATGAGCTATATGTATCGTTTTCAATAGAGCTTACACTTTGGGATTTATTTTTATTCTAAAGATGACATAAAAATTAAAATTATACAAAGTATTTCATATTGATCTGATCATGAATAATGAAATTGAATCTCTATGCCATATAGAACGATACCTGATTATTTATATTTTTAGAATGAAAATAATTCAAAACTGAAATTTTATTCACAACAACTATCAAGTCAACTTTTCAAATATATGTTGATGTATCAACGATTTAAATTTCAATCAATTCGAGAAGAAAGATTTAATAAATTTTTAAACTTCACCTATACATCATATAATAATTTATTGAGATATATTCTTAAATATGTTAGATTTTTCAACTGATTTTTAAAAAAATACATTCACATAAACACAAATATCAAACATATAACACACATGTAATCCATTTATAATAAGATTAAAAAATTCCATCAATTAAAAGATGTATTTTCATTAATTCTTACACCAGAATAGAGATTAATGACATTAAAAAATAAAAAATAAAATGATAACTAGTGTGTAATATTATTTGAAATTTCTTTTCATTCTTGTTACAAATTATATGTGTATGTAATATGTTGCGTCAAAATTAATAAATACATAAATGAAGTATATAGATTTAGTCGTTTATAATTTTCATTTTTTCAAAAAAAATTTCCGAATATATTTCAGTATTGAATATACCCGTGCGAAAGATTGAAAATAACACTCTTTTCATTAATTTTTTTGAAATACACTAGTTTGAAATTCTTCTTTTTAATGTTAAATGAGAATTCATTTGTTCATTTTTTTATCATTAATTCTAAGCATAAAAAATCCCTCATTTAAGAATATTAATTATTACATGGACTGATCAATCTTTTTTATGTTAGCTTCAGTGATTAGTCATCTAAATCAATATTCATAGTAAGATTGAAACACAATTATATCTCATAAAACATATATGATTCAATTCAATTCAGTGAGATTACTTACATTGGATAAGAAAATATTTTCAAAATAAAATCAAATATTTACACATTTTCTGTATACAGTATAACCTAAATTTTCAGAATATCCTCGCGTGGTGGCCTGACATGATGTAGTAGCGTATGCGCATGCAACTCGTTAACCGCAAAAGTGAGTTTCGGGTTGAACAAAGATTGTATATTAGATTTTTTAAAACTTATGTTCAGTGTTGCATTACATGATGAATTGATTTTCTTTGTTTATGTGTCAGTTGGACGTCAGCTTAGATTTGGAGATTCAGGGGTGGGGTATTCAAACTCATTGTTTTACCGCAACTCCGCCGATACATTTGTTTAAGTGTGAACTAAGATATATTCCGGTGGATACGACTCTGTTTTGAGATCTACGAAGGCCGTCTGACAACTATTCATTGCTAGTATGGAGGATCTGTTTTACGGCTTCATTACTTATTGGAGTCTAACATCAATGACCGCGCAGGGATTATGAAACGAAGATATGTACCATCGGATATGACGCTGATTTCAGATCTACTAAGGCAGTCTGACGACTATTCATGGCAACTATACCCCTTACACTAACATTATTTAATCTATTTCAAACATCAGTGATAAATACTGCTCCTAGATTTTCTATCATCTCTCTCTTTTCATTGTGCACAACTAGGATTATTTATTGGCCATCATTACACGAATAAAATGTATTCCTATCCCAAATCAAAAAATCTGAAGTATGATGGCCAGAAGCGAAAAACTAGAAAATAATTGCTTCGTACTTATCCGAAGAATTAGATGCAGAGGGACATCCATCCATGCACCCTATGGAAAATCACTCATGATCGCACAATCTTCCGCGAAACTCATCGGCAGCAGCAACACCCGAGATCCAAATTCTTCCGATACAAGAACATCCGCAATAACTGCAGCTAACAGAATAGCATCGGATGCAGCGAGGGAGGCACCGAGCGATAGGAAATCGGATGAGATGGCCAAAAGAGCATCCCCAGAAACAGGAACGCAGCAGACCTCCGGAAATAGAAAAAAACAGCACAGCAGGTATCGCGGTGGACCGGACAGCCAGGCAAACGCAGTCGGCGTCTCGGAGCTCCCACTCTCCTGCGATCTGGGCCGCACAACCCACAAATCGTGTCGAGATGCTTCGGTGTCTTCAGACCCTCAGTCCCGCATTTAGAATGAAATCCTCGGCACGTCTGGCCTCCGGACGGACGGACTGACGGCCTGACGGACGGACGGAGCTTTCCGCCGGAGGGCAACAGGAGGAGTAGGTTCTGTCAGGCCCTACGCGGGGGACGACTCGGAGGTTTCACCTTTCAGCTTGTTCCCGGACTTTCCTTTCTTGTCCCCTGCCAGCGACTTTTCCCTCCAGGCGGAGGAGCGCCGCGAGGCCGACGCGTGGCTCGATTTAACCAGCCTAAATGGGATATCGCCCTATGTGAGCTCCTACACGTTTCTAATGCATGAAAGCACATTCAATATTTGCATGTGAGCGGGGCCTGCGTTCGCATTTGCTCGCCTTCGCTCTCGAGCCCTCGCCTCCATGTATCGAAACTTGTGTTGGACAAGTGTTCTATTCTTGCTCGATCACCCTTTTGTCCTGTTTGAAGGCCATGAGCAAAATCTTCCTGTGCACGATGCTCCGAACCCGAATGTTGTTCAATTCGACAAGGCGGATGCAACTCGCGATTCAAGGGTTCGATGCGTGAAGAACCCTCCCAGAAACAGTGCTTATGCTTGCCCTCGATGCTATGCATCCCTCCATTTCGACGCTGTCTCTACTATACGATGAGATACACGCAACTCGTTTTGGAGGATACTGTTGGAATGTTGTACAAATCTTGCTTATGGGATCAATGATTGAAGTGGATAATTGGGAATTACAAAATTCCAAAAAGATTATGACGCCGACGACAATGTCAAGTCATGCTCGTCATGTTGCGTTCGGCGAGAACCAACTCCAACGGAGGGCGATGGCAGCGGCCAGTCGGGTCCACCCGGTGAGTAGCTTACGTGGTAGATGTGAAGGAACAAAGTGCAAGCAACCGGGTAAGAAACCGGCCGCACTCACTCCCTTTCCACCCGAAGTAAGAAACCGAAAGCAGAACCGGCGACGACCCAGCGAGCCACTCGAGACAGATCGTCCCCGCCGGTCGGGCATAGCCTCACGCGGAAAGAGAATTGTAGAAGAACCGGTCGCGGATGGCCCCCGACCCGAGGTCGCCGGTCGAGACCGATCCGACGTCCGATGGCCGGTGGTATCGCCCGGAAACGACCTACTGTAGGACTGCGCGATGGTCAGATCGCTGCCGCTCGTGCCGGTCGCGTCTCGGAAGTCTATGTTCTAATATAAGGCGGGCCGGGGGCCGGAGTGGCGTCGTGGAGAAGCCTACACAGTACGGCCGCCTGCGCGAGTAGTGCTCGTAGTCGAATACTGTAGAGTATGTACAGCGACGCGGCGATACGTTCGGTGGCGGAAGAATCGCAACGAAAGGAGGAGAAGTGCCATGGAACTACCTGCTGGTGGAAAATGGCGCGTCTCTGGCCGTCGCTCGAAGTTGCCGACAGAAGAGACACAAACGCGGGGGCCTTTTGCTCGATTCCTGCCTGCTCTGCCTCGGTTTCTTTGTCTCTAAGCTTCCGGATCGTGAACGACTTTCGAACACTTGAAAAGGAGAAATAAAGGCTAAAAATTAGGGGAAAACATGGAGCCGCATTAATGTTGGAAGTGTGGACATCTATGTTCTGGGTTTCATGTCCCTCGATAATAGATGGGCGACAGAACCGCTCGGTCGCCCTGCCCTTGGTGTAAGTGTCCGTCCCTGCTTCTTCTTCTACCTCTTCCTCTTTCTGCTCTTCTCGTGTTCGCGGTTGTTTTGCGCGGACGTCTCTTTCGAGAAAAACGTCTGAGCGGGCGCATGGTGGCATGTAGTCACCGGGGCTCCCCAGCATTAACAGCGCCAGCGTTTGGGTGGAGTTTCGTTTCTGTAATTTGTCTGTCTGCTCCTGCGCTGGGCTTGGCTTCGTGTGGTGGATTCTTGATCAGAGCTTTTTGGCTTTGATTGTCCCATGTTCATTACGTAGAGTTAAGGCGTCGGACTGTCTTTTTTCCGAGCCGGGCGCGGTGTGAAACAGGAAGCTTGGCTTGTGTGCTCTATGCTGTCACAACACGCTATTGCATTTCGTTCGTTGCCGTTTAATTATTCAGTCCTCATTTTCCTCGCGACTCAGATCTCTTGCGGCTGCGATTCGATCGGTCGTTCATTTCCGGTGACCGCCATTTGGACTGGTCTCCGTATGCCCACCATCAGAAGTTTCTATCCTACTATTGCTAACTGATGAAAGAAGAAAAAGGGCAACGAATGGGATAAAGAGAACGATGAAAAGACTATCCAACTGAAAACAAAGCACAGACCAAGAAGGCCAAGGAAAGCCCCTTGCGAAGGCTAATGAGAACGACAAGGTACTAATGGAAGCATTGTATTTGTTCTTCCTCCACCCTATGGGAGACCTGTCAGCCAGATGATCCGATTAATTTGCTTGCTTCTTTAGCAGGCAGATGTATCATTATCTTCTTCAGGTTATTGCATACTTTTTAAAATCAATTTTAGGAAACATATAAACATTTTAGAGAAATCACCAATCGGAGTGATCCGTAGAGTAATCGCGTTAGGTGGTGATTCCTGGGTCGCTTTGTTATTGTAACAAGTTTTACATGAATAGTTCGTAAGCCTTAAGACGTATAGTACATAGTTTCCATTTGGATAGTATTGGGACTATAGCTCCATGTTACACCTTTGGTTTCATCCATGTACGACTTGATGAGTTCATCCCATCCTTTTTGTTATTCTACTGTGTTTTCTAGTTGCTTTGTTTGTGTGTGAGAAAGGCAAACATTTTGGTTCACTTTGAGCGCGAAAAGGCTCAAAGCATCGTCCTCTCCAAAGCCGGGGAACTGGTAGGTCGGACCTGTGAATGGATTCCCAGGTGCACATCAATACAGAGCAAATGACCCTTTGGATCTTTTCACGTTGACAATGGAAATAGGTCACGGCTTTCTCAAGTAACCGCGAAAACGATGATAATCCCGGCCGTATAAGTTCAATGTACACTTATAGGTATCTACGCCTTATATCTACTGGATAAAAATCCAGATGTGGCGTCTGAATACTTTTGTTTCTACATTTCTGGTAGGCTTGAAAGGTTGGGAAAGACCTGGGCCTGCCAGGGGGAATCTAGCTTAAGCTAGAAAACCACTTGATAAGTTCGTTACGGGCGAGGGAGTCTGTGCTAGGCTCATGGTCATCATAAGCAAGCAAGCAAGCAAGCAAAGAGAAGCAGGATTGAGGTCGAAATGACAGCAAACAACAACCCCAGTGGATTATGCACAGATAATATTTTGTTTTCAGTCAGCTCGCTTGTTTTTTGGCCTAGGTGGTACTACGAGTGTGCCGCTGCCAGAGAGATCGCAGGGAAAGCAGTATACTACGATGAGTCATCATAGGGAAAATACATACGTGGGGGCGATATGGGAAGAGCCTAAAAAGGATAGAAAAGTTGGAGAGCAAACCAAGTGGATAGGTAGTAATAAGTAGTGCAGATGGAGTCCTTCTTACCTTCCGGAATCCGATCACGTCCTTTGATAATGGCTGGCTCCCATAGCTCGCACGTTTGCAAATCCAAGTTTACATCCGTATGTGCGTAAAGAAGCAAACGGGGGGGAACAAGAGAGATACACGGCGCAAAATACGGGACTTGCAGTCGATGTAGATCTTTACAATACTGTACACAGATACTTGTGGTCTTTCTTTCCGCATTCGTGTCTGCTTTCGTCCGTCGATTGTGATTTTTATTTACCGATTCCAGGCCCCACAGGTCCCTTAAACATCCGGACCCCACTGATAGATCTCTTTTGATTTTTACCACTGTACACGCAGTCAATTCCTCTCAGTTATAGCCCCCTCGTACAGCAGCGGCTCAGATTTCCTCTGTTCTTACGAATCGTTTGTCTGAGTGTCTCGTCTTCAAGCGGTACAAGGCCAGTTTCAAGAAGGCCTCATTGTTTGCTTCCTTGGCTCCTCTCAGTACAGCTACTTCGTCCTGTCGCTCATCCAGGCCCGTGCAGTGTGCACCGTCACTCAAAGGTTCAGAACAACAACAACTACGCTAGGATCGCCGGTGCTCTTCTTCTGCGAGTTTGTGTCGTCGAGTCGTTCGGAGCAGTGTCGAGCAGAGCAGGGCAGTGATTTGACACATCTGTTGATGGTGTAGAGGAATTTCTCTGGAATGTGCCGGGAGTAGCTATGGCAGGGTGCGGGAACATCAGTTTGCGGTGCCATGCTTCCAAGAAGTCCTCTGTGAGGTACGACCATTACTGGAGGTCCTGTCCTCGAGACGAGACGCCGAAAGCTACTGGATCTTCTGGTGTACTTGAATTTTAAACGAGGCATGAGGAGGTGAGATCTGCAGACAGGGCGCAATGGCAATGGTGCTGCAGCAGGCGTTGAGGGGACTGTGTTACAAATCAGGATGGTCTTACGCTGTCTTTTGGAAGCTCAAGCGCCGCAGTCGAATGTGAGTTTTTTTTTTGAACCGATATTTTCTCAACCTTTTGAGCTTCGAACTTCTCTTCTTCCGCTGATTGCGAGTTAAATAAAACTTGCACTCACGCAGGATCCTTGAGTGACTCAAATTCAGTGTCCTGAGTCCAGCTAGCTAGTCGGTGCAGACTTTACATTGGGCGGTGTTTTCAATCAACATGGCCGCTGTGCTTTCCAGTGTTGTTTGCTGTCAAATTCCGACATTCATTGGATACTTATATGGAGTCTCAACCTGACCTGATGCCAATTGTTGATCGTAGCCGGTCAACATCCTCTTGAACAGTTCAGCCATAGAGCTGGTGTTCGCAAGTAAAAGTCTTTTACTCGGCTCCCAAAAACATCGTCGATTTCTTTGTCCTCCCTTCTATGTGATCGGCACAAAGTCGAAAAAGCAGAGACACTTTCGGAGCGTAATGACATCACCCAAAGTGTGAATTGGCCTCCGTATTACTACAATCTTTCTACACAATCGTTTTTACAATCGTTCTTCTTTTCTTGCAGCTTGCCTATTTTCATTATCTATTTAATGTGATAAATCTGAGGATTAGCTTCTTTTCCTTGTCTTCTGACGATATGGAATAACGGCATTCGCCTGGATATTAGTGACACAAACACGTATTAGTGGCGCATATGAGTTGCCACTACTAGTTGTATCTGTCGCCTAAACTTCACATCTGCATCATGCACAGGAGGCAAAGTAACATAGGAACTATTCTTGTTCGTAAATTTAGCGTTCTGCAAGCTATCGAAGTACTGCAAATGTATAACGTTTCGTTAAGAGGAATTGTTCTCTAGGAGACTTTGTTTCCCTCAGTTCGTTTTGAGAACTTACTTATGGTGGAGGGGTTCATAGGTGTAGATCACAGTCTCTAAACTCTGCGCAGTGACCATGCGGCGTATGAATATCGGGTGGTTCAGGCCGGCCCTTGATCTTTTGCTTCCGCTTAAGACTGTCTATTGTGGCTCGATGCGCTTCGAGCTAGAGCGGTTGGAGGATTAAGCTCGGAAGGTCATTAGGATTTTGTAAGCAAAAGCAGTCGAGGTTGTGTTATTGTGATCTGGACAGTCATCCCAGTGGTCTTTGGGCAGATCTCAATCCCAAAGAAATAAAGCACCGACTGTAATGAGCGATGCCTTTCTCGTGGAGTGTGAAATTTTTTGGTGTGCTATTCATGCTCCAGGGGAATGGTCAGTTGTGGTCAGTTGTGGTTGCTCGAAGCGATTGTACTAATGACGGATATGGGGTGCTTGATGGCAGGGTTCTTACATGGGAAGATGGGTTCTACGAATTCTCCAAGCCCTCTGCAGTATCCAGTTTCGACTCTATGCAGACGACCGGTGGCTTTAACATGATGAACAGCGGCAGACCCGGAACAGATCCCTTAGCGCCAGATGTTCCAGGTGCTGAGGATGAAATCGGTCTGGCTGTGGCCAGGATGTCGTACCATGTCTACTCTCTCGGAGAAGGGTATACTTCTGTTACCATGGGGAACTTTTGCTTGTTATCAGTTGGTATAGATCATACCTCTGGATTATACTTATAACTAATGTTGAGTATGCTTTTTGTGCAGGTTTTTTTTATCTTAAGATTCAGTTGTATATTGCATATGCCAGCTTTCTCTGTTTTTGGCACTGTCTATTTCCCAGCCAGGTGTCTTCATGTTCCTGGAGGGTGATGATGCATGCAAATGGTGAAAGTTCTGTTATGACTCGATTCATTCCATCTTGTGTATCGAACGAATCTAGTGATTCATCTGTGTTCTTTGTGTTTTTCTTAGTGCTTCGACGGCCTAGCAATTCTAGCAAAGTATCGAAGCAGTTAGCTTGCACAGTTGGCATTCTGAGCTTTAATCGCCTTTGTAGAATGGCCCTTGTTTGTTTTCAATTCATCAGTTGTCGTTGGGGTTTCATGTTCAGAATCATTGGGCGTGTCGCATTTACTGGGAAGCACCAGTGGGTATTTGGAGAACGTGGCTCTACTGGCGAGGGGACTGGAACTGGCAGATCAACCGGCAGAGCCATCAACGAGAAAGTAAGACACCTCGTTCTCGCAATGTCTTTGAAGGCTTTGTCCACAACAATCATACTCTATGCTGAATCCTTTGGTTTGTATCTTCCTAGTCTGAGTCTAGTCAGTACACTTCTGGAGTTTCGTATTGAGTTTATCATGCGTTTATTCTTTCAATTCTTTGAGTGGATCATCATTATATGCGTGAATGATAGGTACATACCTGCCTGTTTTGGTTGTCGTAGGCCATTAATTACTGTTTTACGTTTGGTTACTGTTGGACTGCACCAGTCAGTATATTCATAGCATCACACCGAGTATTAAATGTGACGTTTTCAGCGTCAAAACTTCACGGTCTGTGGAGAAACGCACATGAACGTATACACTAAGAATCTGAGGTCTTATGTTTGGACTTCGCCTTATGCAATTGTATATTGAAGATAGTGATATGATCTCTAGCTGTGAACTGTCACTTTGCAGCCATCTCTGAGCTATAATTTTGTAGCATAGTAGAGGTTTGCTTCTCACGTGAGTGGCCTTGTTTGCGCAGTATCCTGCCGGATGGCAACAACAGTTTACTGCTGGCATTAAGGTACGTCATGAGCCAGCCTGTGGACTTTCAGGAACGCAGATATGTTGTCATGGTGTATTTATTATGGTTTCTTTGTCTAATTCTTCTAGCAGTCAATTGTCTTCTCAAAGCAAACGGTGTATATGTAGTAATCTATAATATGTTCATGTGGAATTGCAGACTATTGCTGTGGTGGCTGTTCCTCAAGGAGTTGTGCAACTGGGATCTACACAAATTGTGAGAACATTTTGCACTTGGACATCGTAGTCTTGTTCGTATCGTTGCCTCTCAAGAAAACTTCAATCACGAATCCAACTAGTTTCAGAGTAGAGATCTTGAAGCTGATCGGTAACATCATTACGAATCCTTCGGATGAGGTCGAAGGTGCTGATTGTCTGACTGTTCGAGACCCTAGTTGTCACCACCTTAAATCTCCTTTGCTTGTACAAGAGTCACTTAGGAGAGAAAGCAACCGTTCGTACTGTTTCTCAGAAAATGATATATACCCATTTTTCCTAACACCGCGAGGCCGACGAATATTCATGCTCTTATTCATGGTTTTCAGGTAATGGAAGACTTAACTCTGGTGAGCCATGTCAGAGGCCTGTTTGGGACACTCCAGAGTGTCCCTGGAGCGTTTCTATCAGATTACGTTCCAGACTCTCAAGGCGGAAGAGTTCATGTTCCTTGTTCAGTGGTGATGCCTTTACCAATGTTGATTCCCATGGGAGCAACCAACGAAACTACTAGAAGCGCTAACGTCACTCACCTGCACCCTGGTCAATTAAGCATGAATAACGTTCCTCAGATACCAACAACTGCTGTGGTCAGTGGCTCATATGACTTGATGAACTTATGCAAAGCATCTGTGCCAGCTAGAGCTCATCTCAGTAATCCATTTCGAACCTCCTCCGTCAATCCTCTCTCTTTGCAGACATCTAGGATCATGCCGAGCCCACACGTGAACAAGGACTCAACATCGAGCAATAATTCATTGTTGTCCACCGTCTCCATGGCTGTTGGTAACAGGAAGGGTCTTTCAAACATTCCGTTTACAAGTGTCCATTGTGCACCTTCCACCGAAAGTGCCTCTGTAGCATCCCTTGGGTCGGGTAACTGGAACTCCCCACCTGCAATGCCATCCGTGGCACAAAGTAAGACTGGAGGCTTGTTTGATCGCAGATTGCACGCCGATCACAGACTGCGACACCAGCTGCAGACCAGTTTGCCTGTTTGCGGAGTGAAATCTTACCAAGATACAGTGCTGACAACAACCAAAGGACCTTCACAGCAGACTTCTATCTGTGTGACGAGCTCTCCAATTACCACAGGTGGTGGCGTAGATTGTAAACCCACTCGGACCTTCGGACAAGAGGCATTTAGAGCCATGGAGTCCTGCAACACTGAGTCCACTTTGAAGACGGCTGGTTTTACAGGCGGTGCGTTGGATACAAAAGGCCTACGAGAACAAAGTCAATTGTACAATAGAAACCATGGTGAATTGCTGCAGGGTCAATCCCGTAGGTCCAGTCCGAATGTGGAAATGTCTAATTTGGAGATGCCTTCCAAAGCATGTTTGACGGCGCCAACTGAAGGACTTTTATCACATGCTGGGAAATGGGCACATACAGTTACTACTGGCCCTCACTCTGAGGTAACTAAAGTTTCTGTAAATAATGTCAGTCAATCCGATGACAAGCGGAACACAAACACTTATTCTCAGGTAAGGGAAGACGAAAAAGTATGCAAGCAGGTATATGTGCAGTCCCCTCCGAAATTTGCAGATGTAGCAGGCTTTTCGAACCAGTCTGTACCGATATCGAAGGGTAGTGGAAGCAGTTTGCAGGGCATACAAGTATGCACTGAGGGTGGTAGGAATGTGCAGGTTCGGTCCCAAATCTCTGATAGGGCATGGAATGAAAGTCCTAAAGCGGAATGGGATTGTTTCTCCGGCTTGCTCAACCCTTTCCCCATTGGAGATGAGTTGTCTCAGGCGCTGAGGCCTGCATCTTTAAGGGAATGTGACAGGGATCTTTTTAGCAATTTGCACCCAGTTCATGTTCCCGATGACGTCAGAGAGAACTCAAGTGTTAAGACGGTTGGGGAAACGAAGTTGCTGACCGATAGTGGTGAAGGGAAGTGTGCCCGAAACACAGTTATGGATTACGATATTTTCCAGGCCATTTCAGATGCTGTTCTGATGGACTCACGATCTGAGCCCCTACTTGAAGCTATGGTTGCTGGTGTCTCAAATGCTCCTTCAGCCCCTTCGCCATCAAAAGTTGGCAGTTGTTCGCATGAGCCTAACTTGTCTGGAGGTAATAGTACTCTTTCTGGAGAACCAGAATCTATGCGTCAAAGAAACGACACGTATCGCTCAGGATCTTCAGGGGATACCTTGGAGTATGACACAGCAGGTGGGATCTCTCCGTGCAAGACTGAAATGGAGTACGAAAAGTTTGCAAGTTGTGGGATCGATTTTCAGAGGGAAAGTATGCTGAAGGCATCCCAGAACTCTATGAGAATGAGTGGGGATGAAGGGCAAAAGAGAAGCGACGATGAACTTGCTCCATATGATAATGTCTTGCCTGCTAAAAGGCAGGAGGAATTTGGCAAAGTCGCAAATAGCAGGAAGAGGCCTAAACTTGGAGATACCTTGAGACCACGGCCGAAAGACAGGCAGCAGATCCAAGATCGAGTTAGGGAGCTGCGAGAAATTGTTCCGAATGCATGCAAGGTGAGTGTCCTTATATAGCAACGGTCTGGTTTCTTCTCCTTTATGAAGTGCTGTATTAGGCGAATTTGAATAATTTGTCTAACGTTATTGCACCTGAACGATGAGGGATTGTGAAAGTCTACCTACAAGGTATGAATTAATGATATTCAGTTGCCCAGAATCCACCAATCAGTTTGTTGTAACCTGTTTTGGTCGTTTGTCTGTGAATTACAGTGCAGCATAGACTCCCTACTGGAGAGAACGATCAGGCACATGCATTTTCTGCAGAGTGTCACTCAACATGGTGGAAATTGGAAAAATTTTGGAGGTTTAAAGGTTTGAACACTAACAAGCCTTTGATCGCGTTCTCTGCTTGTGGCCTTACTGCACTTATCAATATTTCAGATGATATTGCCAAGAAAGAAAAGTGGTTAGAGTATGACTGGTCTGTTTGTTTACTTCAGTCCCGATACATGTACAGACAGTAGACCTTGAGGAGTTCGTGATTTCAGACCTGTCCTATAGGGTGAACCCGAGCCACAGCTTATGTATGTACAAACACGGGTGGACAGTTAACCATCGCTCAAGGATGTCGGATTGAACACACATATAAACATCCCAGTCAAATATATAAATATCGACCCACCTTCTAAGCAGTCTCGAAACCCTCCTGTCTTCTCTGCGTTTAACAAGGACTACAGAAGGACGAGACCAGACTTATAGAACAGATGAGATTTATTAAAAGCCCTGGCCGCATAGAGTGGTACATGGGATATGATGAGGTGTTCTGTAATATCATAAGATGGATACAAAGAGTTTCTTACTGGGCATGATCGATTTTAGTAATTCCTGAGTGGTGAAAGAGCGACTGCCTGTTGTATTTCCATGACATGTCGATGAGCAGAAGTTACTGTAGCGGGGTGTGATTATTATCCGGTTATTAGTGGCTGCAATTTAAGGCGAAGCCACTTGGATTTAAGATGTCACTAATCATGATCGAAGCGCTTAGTGAGCTTATGATCTACCCCTGAGCAATGACTCCGTAGTCGATATCTCGAACCTGTGCTATTGGCTGCTGCTGCTGCTGCCGCTGCACACATAGACGTACGTAGGCAATTTAAACTGAGATTTTGAAACGAGGAGGCCGGGTGCTCAACTTTATGTTTGTATAATACCCGACAAGCACTTCGCAGGGAAATCTAAGTAGGTCATGTAGGAATGTCCGCTAGGGATGCTTTGAATAAACATATGGGTTGTGCGAGCTGTTGGTGACTAAAAGGTTACAGAGTCTTCTCGTTTCCTGTTCGTTGCCTGCGTGCTTACCTGTAGGGAATGTTTACGAACGTGTTTTATGCTCACAGGAAGAGGAGGACGCCGAGTGTTTATCTGTTGATTGCAAAGCTTACCCAGACATGCAAGGTGGAGAAAAGGAGAAGTCGGAGGTTGGACCTATTTGTGACTTGAAGTTTGACAAACCAAATAATGGTTGTCCTATTGTTGTTGAGAATACCAATCAACCCCGACAAATGCTCGTGGAGGTTAGGCCCCTGAACCTGGTATTGAATTACGTGGAACATGTTTTCTGAGATTATGGCCATCGTGGACTAAGTTTCTTCATCTTGCTTGTGCAGATGTTGTGTGAAGAGAGAGGCCTTTTCTTGGAAATTGCTGAGACAGTAAGAGGGCTTGGCCTTACAATCTTGAAGGGTGCAATGGAGAGTCGCAGCGGGAAGACCTGGGCTCGTTTCGTCGTTGAGGTACGGTTTCTACTGAAATATAGGTTCGGTCGCTACTTTCAAGTAGAACATACCCGTTAGTTTCTCAAACTCGGTCATTCTGGATATCATTCGGCTGTATCAGAACTGGAAGTTAGTTACCCCTGTTAATTAAGATCATTGCTGTTCTTAGACACATTCAAGGTTCCCTTTCCCTTGGCTACACCGTCAGGAGGAAATAGGAGTCAGAGCAAAGTATTTTGCAGATTTCTTGAGTGGTTCTATTATGTATGTGTTCTGTGCAGGCCACCTCACGTGACATCCACCGGGTAGAGGTACTATGGTATCTCATGCAGCTAATACAGCCAACAAGTGCGCTACTGCCAAGTTACGGTAGACCGTCGAACTTTGCAGATCCGGGTTGCTTATATGGTGCGGCTCATGACAGCACATCAGGCAGTATGACGTCGTCGTTCCCTCACATGCTCCGGCCTTCTGTACCTCTCCAGATGACAGCCCGATGACAGTCAGTAACATCTGTTCTTCACCCCCGAAGACTTTCCTTGTTCACCGAAAGGGGTGCAGCGAGTGGGCCAAAGGTCTGCCATGATTGGCATCCATCAAGTGATTGCTCTTGAATTCTTTTCTCACCTTTTTCTCCTCACGGATCATAGGATAATTTTGTGTTGAGATTCTGGTTTAAGGCGAATGTGCAGACAGAAGCTAGACAGCTTTATGTTGGGGAATTTTCAGTCAGCCCAAGGCTGGTACATATTGGCTTGTTAGCTTACTCACGTCTACAAGAATTTCCGTAATGCAGATGAAGCCGCTAGGGCTTCATGAGCAGGTTTTGATTTAAAACTCTCCAAGGAGGGATGGCGGGATGCTGCCATTGCCATATTTTTTAGTGTTATTTACATGAAGAAGTGGTGAGAAGGGAATATTAAGTGGCAGTCACAACTGGTTACTTGCGGAAGTTGTAAGAGATGTTACGGTGAAGAAGTAAACTCGAAGCTGTGTGAAACTCTCAGCGAGGAGCGTATCCCGAAAAGTGATGTGAGTGTGATTTCACCGATTACATGTATTCAATTTTGAGGTGTGGTCATGAGTGAGTTGATGAGAGGACCACGAAGAGAGTGCTGTGCATGCAAATCAACAGCAAATTGAAATACACTTCCTCCATGGTAAGACAACTGGATGTTAAGTCTAACTATTTCAAATAATTGAAGACTGTTCTCACTTTACGACTTGCAATTTGTAACAGGCAGAACACTAGACACAATCGACTTCCAGAACAGCGAAATGAAACGTAAAGCACACACATGTATCTCGAAAGGGAGATCGAAATGTTCTATGCAGGGTGGCTAGCATTCGCACGATCATATGTACATGACACAATTAACGCAAGCAACATGCCCCACTCGCCCTCAACTGTCCGCAACTCTGAAGTCAGACAATAACAGGACATTTTAACTCTTGACCTCTTTAGGGGCTGTAAATTGAGCAACCTTCAAGTCACCCGAACCGAGTACTGGTCCCCTTCATTTTCAACACTTGGTCGCGACCAAATCCTCGTTGTTCTGATCCGTAGTGTCACAAGATACACAGGATCACTTGTAACGGTGATTTCAGAAGATCTGGAATCAATATTGACAGCCTTTTCATTCAGGGTCAATTCACACGCCTATACTATGAAGCTCATGCTTCTTCCCGTCCCTTTTGCTACATTTCTCGGCAACTCTGATTTCGAAAACGATGGTGCTGCGTGCATTAACGGCAAGACTCCCACAGCCCTCAGAGGAACCAAACTTGAGTGATGAGTCACATGCGAACAGAAAAAGTGTCACGGGCGGAAAGCAAGTGAGGTTTTTTACACGCGTGGACAGAGCTGGCGCAAGCCAAGCGAATTCCAGGTCTGCAACGTTGGGACACATCAGACTTCAAAGGTGTATAGAGGTGCTCACCCCGTAATTCAGAACGACGGCTGAATGCATATGCAGGTTCGAAGAGCACAGGAAAGTGGAATAGTTCTCATGGTGTACGAAGTGTGGTCTTTCAAGTTCTCGCCTGAACATAATGTTCTGCCCTTTCTGTCGTGGCGGAGGCTTCTCTGGGCTCTCTATAGTTATTTACTCCTCTCCTTTATTTGGGCTATGACCAGCAACGATGAAGTGATAATTCTCTTTCCAGCATTCACCAACAGTCACTTTTGCTAAAGTGATAACTCTACCCGCAATTTTCAACAATGTAACTCTCAATTTTTCATCTGACAAAAAGGAAATGATTATTTACCGTGTATATTCCAACCTGATTTCTGAAAATACTAAACAACAATATATACCATTTTCAACTCAAATTTGGCCATCGACACGCACACCCAGAGCCCTAAACCATAGTGACGGGCGATTTTTGACCGTTATTGTTATTTTTAATTTACACGATCATGTTATTGCTATGACGATGAGATTGAATTCACAATAGAAGGTGAATTTCTCCTTCGACTTTGATTGTATTCCTTGAGATGCATACGTGATGAAGATCAACCAAACTTTGTCACATCTAAGATCTTCAGACTAGTTTAATTCCTTTTGTAGTAGAAGAAGAAATACCATAAAGTCTTGATAATGATTAGCATCAAAATTAGGTTGTATTATCGGTTATATTACCCCCTATTCAGTTTCCTCTACGAGCAACACAATCCTACCACTATCCCCAAAAAGAAGCCTTTATGTTTTCTTTACCTTTATGTTTGAGCTCTACCTCTCGGGGTCACTCTCCCGCTACATAGCCATGATATGATGTAATTGAAAGAACATATCCACAGAAGGTTGCAAGGAATGATGTTTGTGAAGATGTTGAGTAGCAAAATTTCCTTGTTTTAAGTAAGAAAATTTGAAAGATCCCGTTCCGTTGGAAAGAGAGCGGGTTCTAACGATCCCAAATTGATGATGTAATCAAAAAATGATATTGATAAGAGGTTGCAAGAGGGGTGTTTGTGAAGATGTTAAGTAAAAATAACCCCAAGGTTCAAATAAGGAAATTTGAAAGATCCACGCGTTCCTATTAGGAAGAGGGCGTACTCTAGCGATCCGAGATTAACGATGTAATAAAAAAAAAGATCTCAATAAGAAGTTGCAGGGAGGTATGTTTGTGAAGATATTGAATATCAAAAACCCTTGTTTCAAGTAAAGAAATTTGAAAGATTCACAACTTTTCGTTGGTAGGAGAGCGGTTTCTACCAATCCGAATATGATGATCATGTAATTGAGAAAGGATATTGATAAAAAGGTTGCAAAGAGTGATGTTTGTGAAGATGTTGAGTATAAAAAACCCAATGCTTTAAATAAAGAAATTTGAAAGATCCACATCTTTATGTTGGTAAGAGAGCGGGTTCTAACCATCTGAGTATGATGATGTAATCAAAAGAAGATATTGATAAGAGGTTGCATGGAGGGATATTTGTGAGATGTTGAGTATCATAACTCCTTGCTTCAAGTAAGTAAATTTGAAAGATGCACGTCTTTTCGTTGTTAAGAGAAGGAGTTCTAATGATCAAAATTTGATAATGTAATAGAAAGAAGATATCCATAAGAGGTTGTAAGGTGGATTCTAACTATCCGAGTATAATATATAATCAAAAGAAGATATTGATAATAGGTTGGAGGGAAGTATGTTTGTGAAGATGTTGAGTATCATAAACCCCATGCTTCAAGTAAAGAAATTTGAAAGATTCATTGCTTTCCCCTTGTAAGAAAGTATCATTATGTAATCGAAAGAAATAGACAAAAGAGGTTGTAAGATAGGTTCTAACGATCTGTGTCTGAATCATAGGAATCCAGTCCCTACAGTGGGTTGTACGTAACCCAAATCGTATAGGAACATGGGCCACGTGTGATACAACCCGTTGTGGGGGTCACATCTAGTAAATTGAATATTGTTGGATTGCACCAAGTGTTTGAGTTCCGTAGGGTCCGTCTAATAATTTTATCCCCGAATCATTATACGCCAGTGAATTCCAAATTATATTACCAAGTATTATAATTACGTATTGTAATTAATTATTACCAAGTATATTACTTGGTAATTGTAAATATCTTCGACTGGTCTGCCCCGTCAATCCTTGGTGCCCGCTATCTTCAGCGTCCTATAATATATTTTCCTCTCAGTACGAACTTGAGGCAGCGGTAGATTGAAGTGTACTTTCTGGCACAACATCGTACATCCGCAACTCATTCCATTTTCTTGAGTCACGTTTGCCATATTCAAAATAGCTTTCTGCTATTTCCATTGTAGTGGCTATGAACTTTTTAATTATGATGCTGAAGACTTCCAACTTTGGAAGGATCCAGCAAACAGAATGTACTTACAAATGTGACTCGACACAGCTTCGTAAACATGGAATTTAAAAATCTATCGGGTTTCCAGCTCTGGACATATAGTGACATCGAGTACAAGGAACTGGCCTCGAAGCGTGCTCTAAGGTATGTATCTTTTCTCAGAATCTTCAAGTTTGTTCATATGTGAATAAAGATTTATTTTCTTGTGTGATTACACATCTTTGTGTTTGTTAGAACAATGTATAGTACCCATTCCACGAATGTTCGCTTTCCATCAACCAATCAGCAAATCATGTTAGCTTTATTTCCTCCTGATCACAGAACTCCAACAAACCACGCAAAATATAGAAATATCCTCGCATTATGTTAATCTTCTTTAATGATATTCTCGTTTAAAGTGTTTCAATTTGTGAAATACATCATTCTAGAGTTATTCATTATTGATATTAAAAATTTTAAAATTTTCATGAAATTTTTGAATTTATCTTAGCGACTAATTCCATGTTATTATGGTTCTTTGAACAAAAAGATAATCTAGTTGAAAATGTTTCTTTTCGTGGATTATTCCCATTCATTAGGACATTATGAAAAATATCAGTGAAAGGTATATCTAGAAAGAAATATAAACAAGAGAAAGGAACCTTTCAAACCTCGTGGCACGAGTACGAAAGGGAAGGTCCCGGAGGGCAAGGGCAGGCTTAGCGAGTTGCCATACTCATTGAGCGATGCGCACTACGTGCGCATCGCCCAACGGCCGAGGAGAATTCGATTTATGGCTTCATCGCTTTAATTTGTTTGGCTATATGGGTCCGAAAGAAACGATATATAAGAAACTAAATACATATTAGAAATCCAGAATTAATCGGCTGGGTTAGAAATCCTATGCTGTTGCATTCAGGTGGGCATGGAACATTTCCGTGGACGCCACTTCAGAGATTCACCGAATTGCTTACACATCCTCTTCCTGAACTCAGAGATCTATTCGATTTTATGACATTTCCTGCACTGCGATGCGGCCTCATATCTCAGGCTACGATGACCAGTGCTGCAAAAGGACTTGCAGTTCATAGTTGGTTTGATCCTCACCAGTTCAATTGATGCTTGTGCATCGTGCTCGCCGTCTCACGATCCGCATGGGAAATTCGCTGTGTGACATTTGGCAATGAGCAAAATTGTCGTTCAGTGTGTCGTGAGGTTAAAGCCCATGTCGAGGTCGGAGTTTTCCTTCAAGGCAGTGGGCGTTGGCCGGGAAGTCGTTCGAGCACAAACTTGTAGACCTTGTTGCCGTTCACACCCGTGTCATACTGGTAGGCGATGATTTCATAAAGACCGTCGTAGATGTACTTTCTGTCGTCCTTTCGTTCGACTTTCTTGAGCCCTCGGATGACTCGAAGAGGAATTTTCTGGTCGGCGGTTCGTTTGAGAGCCAGGTTGCCTCCTGTGAGTGTCTGATCTCTGTAGCCTGTCGAATCTTTACTCTTGCTCGGGAGTCCTCCTTCCCCGCTGTATACGCATCGGTCCGTGCTGCTGTCTTGATAGATGTTATCGGAGTATGAGCTCGCTGCACCGAAGACCACGCTTGTAGCGATGGGCCCTCCTTCAGATTCAGATCTCTTTACGACATTGATGCCGGCTACGAGCTCCTTGTGCAATCCAATCACAGCCATTTCGGCTCTCCAACTGAATGTGTCACCGACTTCCACTCCTTCCACCTCTCCGATTATATCCTCTTCCAGAGTCAATTTCGATTCTCTCATTTTAGCTGCCACTCTCATGTCTGATCTACGGCGCTTGGGTGTGACGTCCTCCGCTTCGTTCTCCATGAACTCCCATATTCGCTGGAATGTCTCTAATGTGTCTTTCACGAGTTCTCTCCTCTCTAATGTGTCTTTCACGAGTTCTCTCCTCGGACCGACGGGATCTTTATCTTTGTCTTCCGCGAGTTCTCTCCTCTCTAATGTGTCTTTCACGAGTTCTCTCCTCGGACCGACGGGATCTTTATCTTTGTCTTCCGCGGGCTTATGGTCATCTGGCGACATTTCAAGTTCGGAGGTCTGATCTTCGGGCATCTTCTCCTTGAGATATGTCTGCGGAAGAGTGGAAGTCGTGACTCCTGGCTTTTTTAACGCTTTGGTGCTTACGGATGTCTCCGCAGAGGGCACGATGGCAGACGAAATCTCGTCAGAGTCAACAGTTCTTGTAATTGGCGGCGTGCCTTGCCTATCGCTCACATACTTTTGCATCCAGGCTCTAGTTTTCTCCAGGAAAGCACTTCTCGAATCACTACAAGCTTTGATTGAGGACGAAGAAGTTTCACCGGGAACTTCCTCCGAGTCGGTCTCATCGACTCTTTTTTGCTCAGGTCTGAACCAGCAGTAGCTTCCCACGTCCCGTCCAAGTATCTCCTGATACTGCGAAGCAGTACTGGATGTGTTACTCATCGAGCTCTTGCTCCTGGAGATTTTTGCTCTGGGCTTTTCTCGAGATTGTCTTTGGACATCTTTGATTCCTCTGCCTGCGCTAGAACTTCGCTGTGTGCGACTCAATATCTGAAAGTATGGATTTTCTTCATACTCGTTGGAGGTATCGACTTGGTCACCCATCGTGCTGCTGCGCCCTCAGCGCGCAGGATTTTCAAATAATTTCTTACCTTTCCCGTCGTTCGTGACCCACCAAGGGTTGCCAATCAGAAGCTATCAAGAAGCTTCACATAAAACTCGCACTCTCCTTCTCTCTGCAAGTTGATCTCATCAGACATTTGTATCTTCCGAAGCTCACCCTCTCGTTCCAATTGCGTGAGATGGAAGTTCGAAGCCTGAAGCCTTGTTCTCTGCAGCCCGAAGAAATTCCTAACGCTCATCGCCACGAAGCAAATGGAATCTGTGAAGTCCATGTGCATGACTGGACTGGACTGGACTGGACTGGACTGGACTGCAGTTACAACATGGAGAATGGAATTTCTCGGAATCGAAGCAATGAACGGCATCAGTCGGTTCGGAAACCAAAAATTGGCCTTTCATATTCCGATCAAGTGAAATCTCACGACTTCGATCAGGAAGAATTTCCGAAGACCGAGGTTCCGTTTTCTCACATTTCTTTTCCTTGACATTGCAGGAGATTTCCACTTGTTTCTACCGTAGCCCACACCATCGCGTCTTTGTCTTTGAATCCGGCCGACGGATTCAATGGCCTGCACTGTTCTCGGGCATCAACAGTTTTTGGGGTATCATTACGATTCCCACTTGCAAGACAAACTGGAGCTGGGAATGCAACACCACGAAGACGACAAGCGACAAATAAGATCCGCGAACCCAGTGCACGATATTCTCGTCCGACATTCCTTCCCAGGACTTCATAGCCTGTTCTTGGTACTCGATTATCTCTCGGGATCGAAGATCGCTGCCAAGTGGATTCTGTCAGTACACGTAGGACGTAATCCACGTGTCCTTAATTTAGGAAGACCCTCGTCGGCGTCCACCAAACAATCAGCGGCTGCTGTCAAAAAATCACAGAATACCGGCTCCCCTCATCGGCCGCGGCCACGTCATGGGCGAGGTGGAATTGAACGGCTTGCATGCATTCAAACGCCTACGCGCCCATTCTGACATCTACGTGGATGGATGGGCTCCCCGCCCGCGCCTACACGGCGGCAGCTTCTCTACAGCGTGTATATATAGAGGTCTGGAGTCGAGGCTCGAGATAAGAGTCGAAGCCGCACTTCGTCTGTCTTGAAGAGAAAGTTCGAGCATTGCCTCTGATCGAGAAGGAGAGAACGATCGCTTGTGCGTCGACGTTTTAGTGTATATCTTACTCAATGGATTCGATCACCAACTCTGGCTGTGGAGGGAAGAACTCCACTGAGTGTTGCGGGTCTTCTTGCTGCGGTGATCCATGCAACTGCGGCGAGAATTGCCAGTACGCCTCCCTACATTTGATTCATCCTGCTAGGCATCGTCATTGTGCGTGGTTTCTTTGCATGATTGATTGTCCAACAGAGAGTGGTTTGATTATGCAGTGTGAATACGGTGACGTCCAGTGCTTTCTCTCGCGTGATAGTCGCTTGCAGACGGCAAGAGTGAGGTATCCTTAGGAGTTAGAGGCACTACGGTTATGTTCTTGAAATGAAAATGGCCGTGAATTCTGAAACTACATGGTTCTTTCAAGCGGCTTAGTATGCTCTACTTGCAATCAACTATGAAGACCTCAAGAGATGCCCTGACTCCTTACGTTTTCACCCAGGTGCGCCAAGACTGCTTCTGGCGGAGTAACCACTGGAGGAGCCAGGTAGGTTTTGTTTACCTTTGACGGTGACGTCGTTCCCCAATTCCAAAAAATCTTCAATACGATATGCGTTCTCAAAGAATAAGCATCCAAAGGTAGTAGATTTGGACTTGCGTCTCATCTGGCTCCTAAAGGTTGAATTTGACTCTGGATTTACTGCCAACAGCGCGACATCTGGAGGGTTTTGCAAGTGTGGAGATAACTGCGAATGTACCATCTGCTCTTGCAGCAAAGTGAACGAGCAGGGTGGTGGTTATTGCAAGTGCGGTAATAACTGCAAATGCGATCCTTGTGACTGTACCAAGAGCAGCGTCTAAGGCAAGCAGTGGACAAGCAACGGAGTGAAGAATGTATAAACACTGTATATAGTCATTTACCTTTTAGCTTACGGATGCGGAGCCAGCGGGGATTGAAGCTGTCGCCATTGGTTCCGAGAAACTCAGTGTTTACGGTTTGAGGAACAAATGTATCCACGAGCTGCACTTAGTCCACTGGCAGGTCATGAGTTCAACGTTTTGTTGAACAGTCACAACCAGTTCATCTAAATTCAAGATTTTATTTATGCGGCAATGCTCAGCTTCATGATGTGGTGGTAGAATAGTGGATGAAACGCAGGAACTTCCATTTAACCATCTCCCCTGATTACATTATCATATTTCAAATCGTCTTGAGTTTTGATGACTTTTGATGTTTTGAGTTCCCATTGGCAGGACGAGAGTGTATAATGATGATATACTTGGTGAGTATTTTACTCTTGTTCGTATGTCATGTTGAACACTTGCGACGAAGTGACGACTTCGTTGCAATATGAGTAGGGTAAATTTTATGTTGGTTGTTATCAACGTTGTCAATGAATTAAGTCTAAAAGCTTGAACATTGTCCGAACTCTTTGCGTAGATGATTAAATATGATAATTTCTTTCCAGTACACTTGCAGCATGGTGGATATATTACAATTTACATATAGCTAACATGTTACCTTTTATTCTCAAGAGTTTGCATTCTAGCAACTACAACCTTTCCATTGAAGTAAAATGTCACTCTCCCCTCTATAGAAATATTATCTATTATTCAATTTACAATATCTGATAATAAAAATCACCAAGTAATATAAACAATATAAATTAGAAGTATACATCGTCAACTACAAGGATAAATCCATGAACGACTTGAAGGTGAAGCAGTTATGAGTTTTGCATGTAACCATAAACTCCCTAATCCTGACTTACCATTATATACCCTTACATTGACAATAATAACCAATATATCTCCGGCTAAAAACCAGCGTCAAATCACATATCGTATATATTCATGAAGCCAATACATGTGCTTAAACTTGACGAAGCCTATAAGTTCTAATTCACCTTGCCTCAGGAAAGCTTTCGAATCTCACATTCTCGGGAGAATGATTTTGGAAATCCTTCTACCACCGGTACGCACTAACATATACTTAGAAGGAAAGTTAGCAAACTTTGAAGAGGACCGTTTGTTCAATCAAGAGAAATTCAAGGAACGTGTTTTATATTTACATCCTCATGTAATCAAACACTTCACACTTCTATTCAGTACAAAAAAGTATGTTACATTCTCCTAACGAAATTCTCTTCCTAAAGAATTATTAGAAAAGTCTATATATTTAAATTGATAAGTTTCAAAATGAAGTAAAATGGGATGATTTTTTGCTCACAGCTGATGGCCTACTTCTCCACCAAACTATATATGCTGAAAATTTTTTATGAGAACTTGGGCATGTAAATACTCACCTCTCGAAGATTCCTCTCAATGACGGAGTTCAACTGCGACATGATATTGAAACGCCACCAGTCCTGGCCACTCTGTACCAGCAAGCAGAGTACCCGCACAGACATTCTTTTTGCAACTAATTTGGCGAGTCGATACATGCAAAACTCATAACTGCTTCACCTTCAAGTCGTTCATGGAATTATCCGTTACTTGCGCACTTACCCGGACTATGTTTTTTTCAATGCAAAGGGGGGAGGAAGACATACTTCGGGGCTACTCAGACGCCAATTATACTCAAGAGGCAGACGACAAATGTTCTATAGGTGGATACATGTTCTTCTTGTGCAAGACACCTATCTCATGGAGCTGTAAAAAGCAATCAACGACTAGCCGGTCAAGTTGCGAATCGGAGTACTGTACCACGCCTTGTGTCATTGTACCTGTGAGTCAATCTGGCTTCGATTACTTCTACAAGAGCTTAGGGTTGACACATCTCAGCCAACCTTCATTGGTATCAACAATTACAGTGCCATCAAACTCACGAAGAATCCGGTATTCCACAACCGTACGAAGCATTTCAAGGTGGGTTGGCACTTCTCTCGTCAGAAGGTTGAAAGTGGAGAGATCTCGGTCGAGTATGTTCTTACGGACAAACAACCGGCCGATATGCTCACAAAAGCTTTACCAAAGACCAAGTTTCAAGTAGCTAGAGAGAAACTTAGAATGCTCACACCAAAAGAGACTCTTGAGAGCTTTCATTAAGTCATGGAGGCTTGGACACTAGGTCCAGTACATCTCATGGAACTAACAGCCTTGATAGTAATGCTTAGAATCCTCTAGACGTCTAAAAGTTTTGTACTCTGCGCCTCGGTAATACTTTGCTTGTTTCTAGCACTCAGGCCATGAACAATAGATGCCAAGCTCATGACCTCTACGTACAACGTACAAATTTTGTGTCACTTCTTATGTCTTTTCCCGCTCAGGCCCAAGAGGGAGTTCCTTCAGTGTGACAACTAGCGAAGATTTACACTAGGGTGATGTCATCCGGGGCTCCTGGCGAACTTCTTCAAGCGATACTTGATGACTGTGTTCATGGACCAACACTGTTTCTGTTTGTTGCTGTTTCTTCGAAAGCATACTGCTCCATCAGTCTTATCAGCCATGGCAACGGGTGATGGAGAAAAACCATCAAAGCCCAAAGGGAGACTCGTAGTGCCTGCAGCTAGACATGTCTCCGTTTTTGCATTGTTAGCCTATTTGTTTTGTGAAGTTGTTCCTTAAACCAAACTCAAGTTTAGTATTTGTTTTATGTAGTTGTTCCTTAACCAAACTCAAGTTTAGTATCTCACCGGTGAACGCAAGCTTGCTTGATGTTGCGGGTCCATTGCTCCTATTTTTCTGTTGAAAACATTCCCCTCGTGTGCAAGAGGGAGTGTTGAAATGTGTGTGCCAACTCGGGATTAGGGTGCCCTCGCTCTATCTCGTTCCCACAGCGAACGTGTGGAGATTATTAAGTTTGCATGCATGCAAACTTAATATCAGTCGCCCCTTGTACGAGGAAAGGCATCGGTTGGAAAGAGGACTACAACTCACGCTGACTCGTGATCCTTCTTTATCTCTGCCCTGACCACCTGAGTAACTACAGTGAGTTCATGGAGGAAAGGCATGATGCAGCAATCCGCTTTCTTTGATCTTCATTATTTTGTTAGTTTGGTGAGTACTAGAAGCAGCCTGCTGAGAGACTTTCAGGTGAAGATTCACCGAAGCCTTTTATTCCCTAGCCTGAGATTCCCTTTTCCCTATTCCCTACAAAAGCCATGGCGCAACAAAAGGGCATAATGTAGCGGGAATTGAGTCTTGACGGATTCATCAGATGATCACAACAAGACGCTAGATTGCGCTAGAACAGCCATGGAATTCCATAAATGTGATTATTGCACTTGCAGATCATCCTCGAACGGCACAGAGATCGGGGCCCAGGTGGGGCATGTCAAATCACACTTGATATTATACGAGAGATGAAATGGGTTCTGTGGAAGCACTCCCAAATTCCACAGCACCGACTCTATTTTCTTCGCTTCAGCATGTGCAGTCCTTCACTTCGTGCACGATTTTCCATGGGATAAACTCACGCCATAGACACCTGGTGCACATTGCCCTGAAGTCAGACAGTCGACCGCCACACGCATTGAAATATCCATTGACTGCGCTATATGTCCATCATCTACCTTCTAGAATCTTGGTTTCTCAAATTCGGTGTCATAAGTAAAAGTCATGAAGTCCTTGACTGCTTTGGCTTGGAGACATTTTGTCCTTCTGTTTCCTTGTTGTCAATGGTCAGGCCCCACCTTTCGAACCGAATAATCTACAAACGTTGTGATGATGGCCTCCACTGGCAAAAAGCCAATTTGAACGACTTCTCTCCACAGCTGGTTTGCTGTGGAGAGAAGTCGTTCAATGCGACACTCTGCGCTTGCTCCAAGGATTTACTCCTCGAATGGAGATCCTGATGAGTTTGTGTGTGAGCTGGTGTTCGCTCTTCCGAAAGACTATTGGTGACAGCAGGTACAGGCTCAAAATCCATGTTAACAAACTCACTACGGTCTTCGACATCCGCAGACGGAGAGTGGCCTTCACCCAGTGTGGTGATCTCCTGGTGATCGTGCTGATCCGGGGGCTTGAGCGGGCTAGGTGCAGATGCTTGCTTGCCCTTGCCAACTACTTCGACTGATCGTTTACTATACCACTATGGCAGGAAGAATCGATACGCCCGTCGCAAGCGATGCGCCAGCACGCCGGGGGGTGTACCTGCTCTCGCATCCACGGTCCGCGTCCAACTTGTTCCAGAGAATGATGGAAAAGCAGCCGGGCTTCCAGATCTCAAAATACAAATTGCACGATTCGCAGGCGTCGTTGACGCAGCTGCTTAAAGGTCGCTTAAGTGAATGGTCGGATGAGGAGCGCGAGGCCTTGTATGACATGTTCCGGGCTGGATTTGACAAAGTTCAAGACGAACTGGCAGATGCAAGAAAAAATGTAAGTCCAGGCACAAACTCTCTTTCTTGTAATGCGAGAGGCAAGAGACGAGGTGAAGTATATATGGCGGTTGTGGCGAAGTAGCAATCCTGACGTGAAATGGCGTGTATCACTACCTGTGTATTACCCACAATGTGCTAACCATTCTCGTGCTTGCAGGGCAATCAGCTCTTTATGAAAGATCACACTATGTTCCTGTCAGGTCCGGACAAACTCTTCGCCCGCACCTTTGATGGAGATGAAGTGGATCCCCTCGTCGTCTATGAGCGCAACGCGCCTAAGTCTACCCAAACCAACCCGACTAGCATGCCTGACAGTCTACTGCTCTCCATGCAGCCGATCTTCCAGATCCGACACCCAGTACTCATGTTTCCGTCGATGCTCCGCGCTCTGATCAAGGTCCAGGGCCGTGCCCGTCCACGCGACCTGTCAGTCACGCCGCTGCTGACGCTGCGATATTCTCGTGATTTGTTCGACTGGTACCTCAACCATGGGGGTGAGGTGAAGCCGAAGGTCATCGATGCTGATGACATTATCAACGATAGAGCTGTAGTTCGACAGCTCTGTATCGAGACGGGCATGGACCCCGATGCTGTGCAGTACGAGTGGGAGATCCGAGAAGACAAGGACCCGCACCAGGCGATTATGAGGTCCACCATAAATGCGTCCACGTGTATCATCCCAGGCTTGGTTGCCCGAGGTCTTGACTTTGAAATTGAGAAGGTGAAGTGGAAAGCAGAGTTTGGTGAAGAGGATGGCGAAGATCTTGCGATGGCTGTCCACGATGCGATGCCAGACTATAACTATCTACTAACCCATCGAGTTCTTCCTGGTAAGTGAACATACAAGGCATCTAACCTGTCGCACACAGGCAAAATCTTCCACCTTCTCAATTTCAAAGTCAAGACCACACACATCTCACCTGTCGCCAGCAATCGAGTGATTGGGTGATTCTGGAATGGTGCTCATGGCAGGATGTAGATACTTCGACCGATTGGTGATTTGCTTCCAAGTTCTCTGGACGCTTGACTCCATCTGTCTCCGAGCAAGTTGTTCTAGGAGATTTTTATTCCATCATTTGCTGATTACTCTATTCCTAGATTTTAATGGAAAGGAATACGGATGCACTCATGTGAGTTATAATCACGCAACAGTTGTGACTACGTCTCCGTACAATGTTTCACTGTAGCTGTCAGATGTGTTTGCAATGGTCTTATTGCCCAAGCTGTAATTGCAGAAGACGTTGAAATAAGAGTGATTTGTGCGTGTAATCGTCTCTTTTATATGAGTCATCAACATTGGTGGCACATCTAGCATACATTTTTTTGTTTTACATTTTAGCATTCAAAACTCGTTAAATACTTGTTTTGAAATTTCTTGAAATCTTGTGAGGACTATCAGGAAAACAAATATCTAGCAGTTCTCGATCAGTTACAAGTTTCTGTTGCCTGGTTAATTAGTAAATGTATGTTTGATGTAACTGGTTAATTAGTAAATGTATGTTTGATGTAACTGGTCTGTTAAGGAAGTTGCCATTTGTGATCAAGCAATATTTGGATACGTTTTGGATATCTAATTGATTACATCCTATTCCCCGAGGAAATGTGTCTTTCCTTCTCCTTTCGTCGCTTATTGAGGATTACAGGATCTGCACTTAGTCTTTCGAGACGCAACATCTACTCGAAATGTTCCACCTTCGGAAGCTAGGAGATGGAGAGGAGCAGAGATGATGGCAATAAGGAATGAGAGTAGAGAGTGAGCAGCTTGTTGGAACATTTTCAGATGTCCACTAGAGACGTAATAGAGGAAGTTTCGAAGGAGATTGTTAGCTGAGTGAACTCATGGCCCAACTTCCAGCTTGGTTTAGTCTCGCAGCTAAAACTAGGATATTTAGCAGAAACCAGCGCTTTGGTATTTCCGTGCATAGCACATGACCATAAAGAGATTGTTTGGAATGGCAATTATGTGTCGATAAAGGCTTATCCTTGCACCACCTGGTATGCTTGCTTACGTATTTGCTACTCAATGACATGGGTGTCTTATTCGTATTGATTAAGGGCCGAAGAGGTGAAGGAAAATATCTTCCAAAAGTTACATGTGCTACACAGCCCCTTGAATTCAAATACAAAGGGCACTTTCTCATCGAGCAAATACGAGGTGAGTAGTATGTCTATACACATAAGGGAGCGGCTAGTTACCTCCCTTACGGCTAATTAGCCCTCACTCTACTATAAACAGCTCTCTTCTTGATCGATGCAGGGTAGTCAGTTCTCATATTGGTCCGTGCAAGGTAGCAGTGATGCAATAGCAACCATAGGGTGTTCGCCTAATTAAATAAAACCATATAGTAAGGTGAGGGCTAATTAGCCCTAAATGAAGTATAATTAACCCTAGCTAACTATATTATACAGTATCCACTGATTCACCCGACTGTAAATCATCTACAGTACAATGGACTTGAAATTCTCCTCGGTAGTGATCTAGCCCCATGTTGTAAGTGCCCCCATCATTAAATGAAGCAATGGCGCAAGTTTATTCGTGCAGGCCTTCTAATGCTGTCGACTTTGCACCAGTCGAGTCGATGGATATTAAAGAATGTGCTCCTAGATTTGTTTCAAGCTCGAAAGCTTGTAATTTCATGCATGTGTCCTTTCTTCCCATACTCATTCACACAAATATAGAATCTGTCGAAGAGTACACTTTGCATGGACAAACTATCCATCTCTTTCAAAGCAGTACTGATTGACTCAAATAACTCAAATTATTTCAGTCGTGATGACATAAGAAATCAGAAGTATCGTCTGGTGCACAATGAACAATGGATGTGTAAGTTGCAAAAGCTTATGCATTCGATAACTGGGCGTCAACTCGCAAGTAAACCTGCTTATAGATTGAGCTCTATGCAGTAATTCTTGAACATATGGACATAATGTAAAGGCACTGAACGCAGCCTCTAATAAAATGAACTCGCAATTGTTAGGCTCCTAAGGGGCGTCAATTACAAGCGAAAGAATGAAGAACTAGTTTTGGTAGGGAGTTGACTCTCACTGCAACGTGGTCTTGCTTTCGCAAGGCCCAAGCAACACTCAAGAGGAAAACTTGATCACTGCGCTGTGGATGGCATCGGTAAGTTGAGGAACTGTTCGTGAGCTGAGGCCGGCCATGCTGATCTGCCCAGTCCATAGTCATGTAGATGTGGAATTCCTTGGTCATGTACTCCACTTGCTGCTTGGTCAATCTGGTAAACATGCACATGCCAATCTGGTTGAGATTGTGAGTCCAGTCGCCTGGTGTTTTCCTGGCTTTCAACGCATCGAACAGCTGGTGGCGCATGCTGATGATCCGCCATCGCTGTCAGCTCCACTTTCAAGTCGTCGTACAGAGCGGGGCTATGAATTAGATGAAGAATTAGATGAAGAATGGTCGACACGATAGCAGCTCCGTAGGTAGAAGGGCTAGAGTACATAGCTCGAATCACGAGTTTCAGCTGGCTTTCCACACGAGCTGCGACTGAGGAGAAACTATCATAAGTGTAGCATCCTCTACACCTGCTATGTCCACATTCTAATCCTGTGTACCATTCCCTGCATCAGCTAAGACGAAATCTTTCTCAATTTCATCCGCTGCTAGAGAATCTCGTACTTTCCCGGACACTGTACATTGAATGTTTCCTCCTTCACAACCTCCTGTTGGAGAGTCTTCGGAACCAGGTTCTGTATATTCTCCAGAACCTTCATAGTTCTTAGTTTTATTTTCCTGTACAGAACCTTTGTAATCCTTTACAAAGGTATTGTTGATACCTTTGGTTGGGGGTTTGAGGGTATCCGAGCGTCCTTCTTCTGCTACTACACCTTCACCTGATTGGTTTCCTCGTTCTAGTTCGCAATCAGCCAGTAGTATTTTGAGGCCGGAAATCTCCTCCCTGGATATCTTTCTCCCATAAAAATTTCTGGACTTCCTCTCCATCGGATCAGGAGTAGAAGTGAAATGTGCAGACGGGATCTGAACATTTGTTGTGTTCCAAACCCTGCGGGCTTGGTGAAAAACCTCAACATCTCTGTGAGTTGTATACATAGGTGGACTGCTTTGTGTACATCTCTCTAGCAGAAGTGGAAGTCCTCTCGAACTTGAATATATCTCTGTAGTCCTTTTTGTAAATTTGTCTAGGAAGCGGAATAAATATGAAGCCATGTCTTTCTGATAGATGCGATGATCTCAAAATAAGAATCTCTTTGTACAGTACACTCTCTCAATGATTCCCGAACACTGTTACTCTGTCGATGATTCCGGAACACTGTTGATGAAAGATTTATTCTCTCAATGAATCCCGAACACTGTTGATGAAATATTCATAAAAGCACAATTGTGAAAGCCGCGAACACTGTTGATGACAGATTTATAAAAGCACATTTGTGAAAGCCGCGAAAATGAATGAAGATCTTGAAAAAACACAATGAGTCTGTCTATTTTGTTTGGAGCTAGTTTGGCCTCCTTTCCGTTCCCAAATTTTCCTGACAAACGGCCTGATTGGTGATCGGTGAACCTTCATACTTTCGAGTTCATTCGTTTTGTACTGGTGAAATTCGATTACAAATTAAATCAAATTTCATGTTCGTTGGTGCACAGATGAGGTTATCAGAGACTGACTGATATTCGAATTTGCTATTAGGGTAATCTTCTCTCACGGTTCCTTATCGGATTCACATCAATCTATTCTAATTTTAGTGTAATGTTAGCTTCGTTCATACAAGAAAGTTCAAAACCCTAACGACAGTTTTGTATGATCAGTTTTTCACAATAATTATTCACAATGTATCATTTCGATATATTATTCTAATATTCAAATATATGTAGAATCATATTGAGACGATAGATTTCTAATTTGAATACTTTTTTTTTAAGTAATTTTTTTTATAATAAATATGAATTACATGAGAAGAAAAAAGAAACCAATAATTTACACAATTTTCAATATTGTGGTGGATGAGAGTTTACATAAGTGGATACTATTTGCCTAGTAATCCAGCATATTTTTGATATCTACAAGCCATAATTCAAATTTCGCAATTATCCATTTGATAACCGTAGATAAACAGCTCAGTTCTTATATATATATATATATATATTCCCGATAATTCGTTTGAGAAACGTAAATACTATTTGCCTATTAAGCTCTCTTGCAACGTTCCAAGAGCTCCAAAGATGACAAACATCTCGCTTGTCTCCCCCAGCCATTAACTCTAGCGTCCCGATATGCAATGAGTTGACCAGTGGTGTAAAAACCATCAAATCAGTGACAGACGTCTATCCAACAACGGCAAAGCCATGTCGTCGACCAACTATTTTAACCTTTTGAGCGACGATGAAAGTGGAGAATCCACAGCTGTCATTGCTAGAGCCACTTAGTCTAGTCCTGTGGAGAAGCCCACTACAAAGAAATCGCTGCAGACTCTTGTTGCAACGCAAGCCACAATCCGACTTCCTTCAAAGTCCACTTCACCAGCTGAAGCGGTGAAGGAGCAGAGAGTACTTAACGAATTGGTTTAGATGAAGAGGAGGCTTCGGAACAGGCCGAGATCGCAGTGAATATCGCGATGATCATGATGGAGGGTCTAGCGCGAGAACCGCGATGACTTATCCCGAGATCGCAAAAACTACAATGACATACAACAACCCATAGAACAACGATGGCCATTAAGGAGTAAATCCTGTTGGATATGTTGCTGGTGGAGGAGGTGGAGGCTTTGGTGGTGTCAATGAGAGGGCACCTCGTAGAGAGGAAGGCGAAAACTAGTATTTTGAAGGTAGCTGGGCAGAAGTAGAGGCGGCCTTGGCCGTGGAGGTCGTGATCGTGGCTATGGAGGAGAAAGTTGTCACTACCGGTGAAGAGAAAAAGGCTAAAGACAAGGACCATGTTGACGCCGTAGTCATTGAGGATGGCAAGAAGAAAGAAGAAGAGGAGTAAAACAATGAGATGACTTTGGACGAATATGCGAAGATTCTTGAGGAGAAGCACAAAGCGGAATAAAGTAAAGTAGAAGCTGACAAGGCTTTTGAGACCATGCAAATGGTCGACAAAAAGTCAACTGAAAAAATGTATTGATTAAATTGGGCGCCAACAAGAAGAAGAAGAAGGAAAAGGAAGCTCTAGAGAAGCAAGAGAAATCAAAAAAGCATGTGAACATCAATGATTTCCTCAAGCCTGCAAAGGGAGAAAAGTTTAGCTATGGAATTAGCGGAGCTTGCGGTCACGGACATGATCGTTGACGCGCTGTGGATAGAAAATTTGGTGCCTTCAGAGGTGGTGCAGCGGGTGGGACATCCAACAGTGTATGACGAGTGTCGGCCTCTCGTATTCAGGATCCCGGCCAGTTTTTCACTCTATATGGCAAGTATTTGTAAAAGCCAGCTTATTGTGACTACCACGCTCTTGGTGGCTGTCTGCTTTGGGATGGTTCTGTAGGTTGTTTTAGTGGATTTGGTAGAAGAATTACTCTTCTCTGCCATGAATTAGAAAGTTGAGATTGGATTGTAACAAAAAAATTAGTGTAGCAATGACCGTATAGTGGAAATGCTTGTCTAATCAGAATCATTTTAATGCTTTTGCTGCCAGGTTTATTTTGTTCCTTTTTTTGATATTTCAAACATGTTCTTGATCCTAACTGCTATGCTCTGCGTTCTCACAACAATATGTTCTTGTCATTCTTAGAATTTAGATTTGAAATCTCAGTATCAGTTCCAAATCATTTTCGTGACTTGAACTTGTGCAGTAGATAGATAGTGGTGGCTAAGAAGATCCTCCCATCGCACTGATAAGAATTGAAGTGGAGCTGCAGCTTGCAAGGGAGATGTACGACAGCTTGAAGCTTGACGCATCCACAGTTCCAGTGATCTCGTTTCAATACGCAAAGGTTTCTACTGTTTCACTATCTTTTGATGCTGGAAAACCAGGTGCCAATTTCTTGGTTGCAGACTCATGACCAATCTGTCTACTACATACGATGATTGAATGATCCAATTACGAGTAGTCAAGTCATAATCAGACTATTAATTCTCTACTTCGTGGTAGATGCTTGCAATACATTTTACATGCACTTGGATTACAAAGTTCTGCTTGGAGAAGCTACGGTAGAGGTGTGTCACTTGACTATCTCAATCTGCAAAGCAGGTTTTCCCGAAAAAGCAAGAGGGTTCACTCAAAGAGGTATTCATGCCTTCCAATAGCTATAACCATGAAATGACTATAGTCTCAAACTAGCTTGTCATCGATGTAGATTGTATGACGATACATATTAGCACGACACGATTTCCAAACTTCTCTTTGTCAAATTTGGTTCGTTCTGAGTCCCCAGTCCTTCCACAAGGAGCATTTTGCACGAGGAAATCTTTTGTTCCCAATTCAATGCATCCCCTTAACTCAACAAAACCCTTTCCAATAATCTCCAAATTTGCTCGATATCCGATCAATCAACCAACCTCAAACAAAAACCTAACAAGGACAAATTTGTTGTAAAGGCAATGAGTTCTTCAAATGAATTCAGTTATAAGTTTTTGTTGCCTCGTTGATTAGTAAATTATGTTTGATGTAACTGTTCTGTTAAGGAAGTTGGCATTTTTTATGAAGCAATATTTGGATACGTTTCAGGAGGATTGGGAGTCAATTGAAGATTACAGGATTTGCACTTAGTCTTTCGAGACGCAACATCTACTCGAATTGTTCCACCTTGGGAAGCTAGGAGAGGAAGAGTAGTAGGGATGATGGCAATAAGGAATGGGGGTGAGCAGCTTGTTGGAACATTTTCAGATGTCCACGAGATACGTAATAGAGAAAGTTTTGAAGCAGATTGTTAGCTGAGCGAACTTATGGCCCAACTTCCAGCTTGGTTTAGTGTGGGAGCTAAAACTAGGATGTTTAGCAGGAACCAGCGCTTTGGTGTTTCTGTGCATAGTACATGAGCATAAAGAGATTGTTTGGAATGCCAATTATGTGTCGAGAAAGGCTTATCCTTGCACCACCTGGGATGCTTGTTTACGTATTTGCTACTCAATGACATGGGTATCTTATTCGTATTGATTAAGGGCCGAAGAGGTGAAGGAACATATCTTCCACAAGTTAGATGTGCACCACAGCCCCTTGAATCAAACACAAAGGGCACTTTCCCATGGAGCAAATACGAGGTGAGTCGTATGTGTAATACACAATATATATGTATATTATACATTATCCACAGATTCACCAGGCTGTAAATCATCTACCATGGACTCGAAATTCTCCTCGGTAGTGATCTAGCCCCATGTTGTGAGTGCCTCAACATTAAATGAAGCAATGGCGCGAGTTTATTCGTGCAGGCCTTCTAATGATGTCGACTTTGCACCAGTCGAGTCGATGGAGATTAAAGAATGTGATCCTACATTTGTTTCAAGCTCGAAAGCTTGTAATTTCATGCATGTGTCCTTTCTTCCCATACTCATTCACACAAATATAGAATCTGTCGAAGAGTACACTTTGCATGGACAAACTATCCATCTCTTTCAAAGCAGTACTGATTGACTCAAATAACTCAAATTATTTCAGTCGTGATGACATAAGAAATCAGAAGTATCGTCTGGTGCACAATGAACAATGGATGTGTAAGTTGCAAAAGCTTATGCATTCGATAACTGGGCGTCAACTCGCAAGTAAACCTGCTTATAGATTGAGCTCTATGCAGTAATTCTTGAACATATGGACATAATGTAAAGGCACTGAACGCAGCCTCTAATAAAATGAACTCGCAATTGTTAGGCTCCTAAGGGGCGTCAATTACAAGCGAAAGAATGAAGAACTAGTTTTGGTAGGGAGTTGACTCTCACTGCAACGTGGTCTTGCTTTCGCAAGGCCCAAGCAACACTCAAGAGGAAAACTTGATCGCTGTGCTGTGGATGGCATCGGCTTGGTCATGTACTCCACTTGCTGCTTGTTCATTCTGGTAAACATGCACATGCCAATCTGGTTGAGATTGTGAGTCCAGTCGCCTGGTGTTTTCCTGGCTTTCAACGCATCGAACAGCTAGCTGGTGGCGCATGCTGATGATTCGGTCCGCCATCGCTGTCAGCTCCACTTTCCAGTCGTCGTACAGAGCGGGGCTATGAAGTAGATGAAGAATTAGATGAAGAATGGTCGACACGATAGCAGCTCCGTAGGTAGGTGGGCTGGAGTACATAGGTCGAATCACGAGTTTCAGCTGGCTTTCCACACGAGCTGCGACTCAGGAGTCCCTCACCAAAATGCTCAGGGCTCCGACTCGTTCTCCATACAAACCATGTTCCATGTTCTTGGCATAGCTCTGGGCGATGAAGGGTTTCCCTGCGACAAACCTGCGAACCGTGAACGCGTCGGTGTGCAAGCTTCCGCTGGAGAAATTCTGATAGGCGCTGTCGAAGAAGGGCAGCTGATGCTTGTCATTTCAGATGTCGCAGGCCCTCACACTCCTCCTGAGTGAGATCTACGCCAGGGGGATTGTGCGCGCAAGCGTGCACCTACATCACCGATCCAGTGGGTGCTGCTCTCAAATTGTCCATCATGCCCTCGTGGTCCAGTCCTCGGGTCTTGGGGTTGTAATATCGGTAGGTTCTGGTTTCCAACCCAGCGAGTGGGAAAATCTTGAAGTGGTTGCCCCATGTCCAAGATGTAATTCGAGTCTCTTGTCAAAAACTTCTCCCCAGACAAAGCAGAAATGGACAGTTAGTCGAGTCTTTTTTCTTGCTGAGGACAGAAACTATCATAAGTGTAGCATCCTCTACACCTGCTATGTCCACATTCTAATCCTGTGTACCATTCCCTGCATCAGCTAAGACGAAATCTTTCTCAATTTCATCCGCTGCTAGAGAATCTCGTACTTTCCCGGACACTGTACATTGAATGTTTCCTCCTTCACAACCTCCTGTTGGAGAGTCTTCGGAACCAGGTTCTGTATATTCTCCAGAACCTTCATAGTTCTCAGTTTTATTTTCCTGTACAGAACCTTTGTAATCCTTTACAAAGGTATTGTTGACACCTTTGGTTGGGGGTTTGAGGGTATCCGAGCGTCCTTCTTCTGCTACTACACCTTCACCTGATTGGTTTCCTCGTTCTAGTTCGCAATCAGCCAGTAGCATTTTGAGGCCGGAAATCTCCTCCATGGATATCTTTCTCCCACAAAAATTTCTGGACTTCCTCTCCATCAGATCAGGAGTAGAAGTGAAATGTGCAGACGGGATCTGAACATTTGTTGTGTTCCAAACCCTGCGGGCTTGGTGAAAAACCTCAACATCTCTGTGAGTTGTATACATAGGTGGACTGCTATGTGTACATCTCTCTAGCAGAAGTGGAAGTCCTCTCGAACTTGAATATATCTCTGTAGTCCTTTTTGTAAATTTGTCTAGGAAGCGGAATAAATATGAAGCCATGTCTTTCTGATAGATGCGATGATCTCAAAATAAGAATCTCTTTGTACAGTACACTCTCTCAATGATTCCCGAACACTGTTACTCTGTCGATGATTCCGGAACACTGTTGATGAAAGATTTATTCTCTCAATGAATCCCGAACACTGTTGATGACAGATTCATACAAGCACAATTGTGAAAGCCGCGAACACTGTTGATGACAGATTTATAAAAGCACAATTGTGAAAGCCGCGAACACTGTTGATGACAGATTTATAAAAGCACAATTGTGAAAGCCGCGAAAATGAATGAAGATCTTAAAAATACACAATGAGTCTGTCTATTTTGTTTGGAGCTAGTTTGGCCTCCTTTCCGTTCCCAAATTTTCCTGACAAACGGCCTGATTGGTGATCGGTGAACCTTCATACTTTCGAGTTCATTCGTTTTGTACTGGTGAAATTCGATTACAAATTAAATCAAATTTCATGTTCGTTGGTGCACAGATGAGGTTATCAGAGACTGACTGTTATTCGAATTGGCTATTAGGATAATCTTCTCTCACGGTCCTTTATCGGATTCACATCAATCTATTCTAATTTTAGTGTAATGTTAGCTTCGTTCATACAAAAAAGTTCAAAATCCTAACGACAGTTTCGTATGATCAGTTTTTCACAATGTATCATTTCGATATATTATTCTAATATTCAAATATATGTAGAATCATATTGAGACGATAGATTTCTAATTTGAATACTTTTTTTTTTAAGTAATTTTTTTATAATAAATATGAATTACATGAGAAGAAAAAAGAAACCAATAATTTACACAATTTTCAATATTGTGGTGGATGAGAGTTTACATAAGTGGATACTATTTGCCTAGTAATCCAGCATATTTTTGATATCTACAAGCCATAATTCAAAATTTCGCAATTATTCATTTGATAACTGTAGATAAACAGCTCAATTCTTATATATATATATATTCCCAATAATTCGTTTGAGAAACGTAAATACTATTTGCCTATTAGGCTCTCTCGCAACGTTCTAAGAATTCCAAAGATGACAAACATCTCGCTTGTCTCCCCCAGCCATTGACTATATTGTCCCAATAGGCAATGAGTTGACCAGTGGTGTAAAAACCATCAAATCAGTAACAGACGTCTATCCAACAGCGGCAAAGCCATGTCGTCGACCAACTAATTTGACCTTTTGAGCAACGATGAAAGTGAAGAATCCACAGCTGTCATTGCTAGAGCCACTTAGTCTCCTCCTGTGGAGAAGCCTACTACGAAGAAATCGCTGCAGACTCTTGTTGCAACGCAAGCCACAATCCAACTTCCTTCAAAGCCCACTTCACCAGCTGAAGCGGTGAAGGAGTAGAGAGCCCTTAACGAAATTGGTTTAGATGAAGAGGAGGCTTTGGAACACGCCGAGATCGCAGTGAATATCGCGGTGATCATGATGGAGGGTTTAGCGCGAGATTCGCGATGACTTATCCCGAGATCGCAAAAACTACAATGACATACAACAACCCAGAGAACAACGATTGCCATTAAGGAGTAAATCGTGTTGGATATGTTGCTGGTGAAGGAGGTGAAGGCTTTGGTGGTGTCAATAACAGGGCACCTCGTAGAGAGGACGGCGAAAAGTAGTATTTTGAAGGTAGCTGGGCAGAAGCAGAGGCGGCCTTGGCCGTGGAGGTCGTGATCATGGCCATGGAGGAGAAAGTTGTCACTCCCGATGAAGAGAAGAAGGCTAAAGACAAGGACCATGTTGACGCCGTAGTCACTGAGGATGGCAAGAAGAAAGAAGAAGAGGAGTAAAACAATGAGATGACTTTGGACGAATATGAGAAGATTCTTGAGGAGAAGCACAAAGCGGAATAAAGTAAAGTAGAAGCAGACAAGGCTTTTGAGACCATGCAAATGGTCGACAAAAAGTCAACTGAAAAAATGTGTTTATTAAATTGGGCGCCAAGAAGAAGAAGGAAAAAGAAGCTCTAGAGAAGCAAGAGAATTCCAAAAAGCCTGTGAACATCAATGATTTCCTCAAGCCTGCAAAGGGAGAAAAGTTTAGCTATGGAATTTGTGGAGCTCGCGGTCACGGACATGGTCGTTGGCGCGTTGCGGATGAAGAATTCGGTGCCTTCAGAGGTGGTGCAGTGGGTGGGACATTCAACAGTTTATGACGAGTGTCGGCCCCTTGTATTTAGGACCTCGGCCAGTTTTTCACTCTATATGGCAAGTGTGGTAAGCCACTTTTTGTTTTTGATCGGAATTAAAACATTTTTGGAAATGAAGTACCGCAGCAGCAACTGTAAATAGTAATCGGTACGAAAAATAGAGTAAAAAGGGAGAATCGCGGGTCACGTAGAATCTAGAAGTTGGGGGGGGGGGGGGCTTAGGCCGAGGTCCAGCCCCTTGGACGGAGCAGACGGTTCTTGCTGGGGAAAGCGCCTTTGGCAACAGGTCCTTTTGTGAGGTGTCTTCAGCGATGCGCCTTCGGCGCAGACGCTTCCAGAGGATCTGTCGCTGAAGATGTACGAAGCATGCGCAGCGAGCGCCTTCGTCTCAGGGAAAACGACCTCGTCACTTCGGACGCCTTCGGCAGTAGGTTCCTTCGCCCCAACACCTTCGGCACTAGCGCCTTCGTCGTTAGGTTTTGCCTTCGGCGAAAGTAATGCCTTTGCCTCTAGGATTCTCCTTCGGTGGAAAGATGCGCCTTCGGCAGAGCGCTTTCGGCGGAAGAAGAAAAGACAAAAGAGTCGGCGGGAGTCCGTACCTTTGCCACTAGCGCCTTTGTCACTAGTGCCTTCGGCGGTACGCGAGCGGAGAACAGCGTCGGCAAAAATCGGCGGAATCAAGATTGAACGTACAAGCATGGGAGTCCGCACAACGGCGGAGCGTGAATTCGAGCGTGCGAATTGGGCCGTTACGCCTCCGCGCCGGCATTGCATTCAAGCGGGCCGCGGCCAGTCCAAGTGTCGAACGTTAGGCGATCTTGATCGCCAAAGGAAGAACTCACTCTCACTCTCACTCTTGCATTTTCAATTTCGCATCCGTCAGAGCTCGCAACGCGCAGCAGGAAAATTGTGGAGATCGCTCAGTGGGAGGAGAGTGTGCGGATTTGTGAGAGTGTGCAATCGCAGTAGCTCGCGGAGAACTTGCACGGAGATATTGCTGGAGTGCGCTCACTGAGCTCGCAACGCGAGTACACAGAGAGTTAGCGGAGAGCTCGAAGAAAGATTGATTGAGTGCCCGAGAAGTGTAGGGAGAAATTACGCGAGTTCGCTCGAGCTCCCGACGCGCAGTAACGAGTGCGCAAAGAGTAGCAAGAAGTTCGCGTCAGCAGAGAAATTGAGTGCGCTGGAACTTGCAAGAAGATGGCCAGGTCAACTCAGCTGCGGATGGTTCCGCTGAAAGTGCCGCAGATCGGACTGCGCGCATTTTAGAACGAGCTGTCGGCAGAGAAGCTCGATTTCCTCCTATGGGGATGGAATTGGGTGTGCCAGGAGATGGTCCGGGAGTGGCTGCGGGAGAAGAACCAACCTCCACGCGGTTTTTGACCACATCCGGAGAGATGGCAGGTCAGCGATTGGAAACAAGTCTTGGGAAGGTGCGCTGTAGAAGAAGGCGACCTTCTCTTCGAATTCGAGAGTGTGCAGGTCACGAAGGAAGAAGAAATTTCCTTCGGCGCTCTTTTCAAGAACAGCAAGTCGAGCAAGAACGGGTACAAGACCTGTGACTACAAGGATCGCATGCGGAGGAATGTCGCGGTAGCACTCCTCCGGATTTTACAGCCGCACTTGACCACCTACATGACTTCTTGGCAGGTGGGGTTTGTGGAGCTCGCGTTGACGGGAACCCCAATCCATTGGGCTCGGATTCTGTGGAAGGCAGCGCGACAACACGCACAAGAGGAGAAGGGGGGGTCGATCAATCACCTCTCCCCCTTCTTGATTAATTTCTATTGGTCGATGGGGTGCTTGACAGCGTCGGAGCGAGTGCAATTTCCCTTGCTGTCACGAAGCAATACGGGAAGGTACGTGAAGGATGTCGAGGTCGACACCGACACCGACGAGACGCCCGCTTGCACACCACTAGCTCGACGGCGAGCAGAGGGCAGTACAAGTGCAGCGGAAGCAGGAATGGGATGGGGAGGCGGATCAGAGCCAGCGAGAAGTGCCCGTTGCTCCCGCCCGAAGTCAAATGATCCACGAGCTTTCCAGACGGCCGAAGCAGAAAGCACGCAAGCTTGTTCTGCCGGCGAGTAGCACGGACACCGGACGAGCCACGGAGAGAAGAAACTCGCCATCCTCGTGGGAGGATGCGAGTGCAAGAGTTCTTGGGAGTACAGCGGACCTCCCTGCACCGAAGGCACGGACGCCTTCGGAGGAAGCACGAAGGACTTTGGGCCAAGGAAGACGGCATGCGACACCGGCCAGCGTGCCAGCAATGGACAGGTGCTTGGCCTCTGAGCAAGTACCTTTTAATGACTCAACTTCAAGTCAAGAGCCTTCGGCTCAAGCGCCTTCGGCGAAGGAGAAGTGTATGGAGGAGCCTTCGGCTCAGAGGACTTCGGGTGAAGTGCCTTCGGCGCAGATCCAACTTGAGCAATTTGCAGAGGATGAAGGCAGGAAGGAGGAGACATGTGTGCCTTCGGCACAGACGCCTTTGGCAGAAGCAGTTCGGGCAGGTGAAGCGTGCCCGCTGGAAGCGAGATCTCCCACCCCGTCGGAGATGTTGGCATGAAGTGGAGCGGCGGTCACGGCAGAAGAAGTTGCGCGACCCAGTTCCAGAGAATCGCCGAGGATTTCTGTAACAACAGAGATCCTCGACACAGAGGACGACACGTGATTTGAGGAGGAGGAAGTGGAGTCGGAGCAAGGCACACCGACGGAAGTACTTTGCGAGCAGGTGGTACCGCTACTGCGGTACCTTGATCGCAAGGCACCAAGGTATGCGGATCACCGCCATCGGGGATTCTACGTCGAATTGGTCAGGAATCGGACTGGGATTAAGGTAGCGACGAATCTCGAGCTGATCTCCCTGGACCAGAAGTACCAAGAGTTGGAGGAGAAGAAAAGTGTC